TTCTTATTGGTGTATGCAAATGCAACTGATTTCTGAATGTTAATTTTGTATCTTGCTACTATACTAAATTCATTTATCAGTTCTAACAGTTTTTTGGTGGAGTCTTTGGGATTCTCTATATATAGTATCATGTCATCTGCATATAATGAGAATGTTACTTCCTCCTTTCCAATGTGGATGCTTTTTATTTCATTTTCTTGTCTGATTGCTGTGGCCAGAACTTCCAGAACTATGTTGAATATAAGTGGTGAAAGTGTGGCAAGTTTCAACTTGTTTGGTGCAGTCAGTCTGTTGTGAGCTACGGTTGAGAGAAGGTGTGTTTTAAAGTGTGCCATAAATCATTCTTCATTATGACAATGCACCGTGTCACACATCGCTTCTGGTATACGGCAATTTCTCTCTAATAAAAACATTACGGTGTATCCTCATCCACCTTATTCACCAGATCTGGCACTGTGCAACTTCTGGCTCTTCCCCAAAGTCAAAACGATTCACTACATCAAGGTAGCCATGACATTGCAGCTAAAGACATTCACAAAAGAGGAGTTTCAGAACTGCTTCAAAAAGTGGCAAGAATGATGGGATAAGTGTGTTTGAAGCGAGGGGGAGTATTTTGAGGAGGATTAATGGCAATGTGTCCTTAAGTGTAGTAATTTTTTTATTTACACATTCACCATATTGTTTGATCACACCTAAAATTAGATTTATAGAAGAGTACAATGAGGATTCAGTGATTATTTAGCAAGATACTCTAGAGCATTTCAAAGAAAATTTGATCACAAAAGTTTAATTTACACACAACTTTTCTAGTTCAGTAGACCCTGAAAAGACCCAATTAGATTACAAGGAAAAAATTGATTTAATGAGCACTGAAACCCATCTAAAAATGACAATCACTTGTTGACACATCATGTTTCTTTGACTGTGACCCAGGGTGTCATCCAATTCAGCTTGATTTCCTATGAAATGTAATTACTTTTATCCTTAAGAAGAGTTACACAGCATCGTGTGTTTCAAAGGATGGAGGCCCTGTAGGGATGCAGAAGAGGGTTGGGGGAACATGTCCTTGTGCTCTCTAGAAACTATCTGATCTCTAAGTGACCCTGGATTTTTTTTCCGGTTTCTAGCTTATGCCTGGGGCCATCCAAAGCCAGTGGACCTAAAAACAGAGGATGTAAGAAACTGTTCAACCAGCCCTCAGGTGAGGCCTTGGCTGGGCTCCACCCTGGCCCCCATCTCAGCACCCCCACCCCCAACCTGACCCAGCCCTGCCGCACAGCTCCCATCATCCTCCCCTTCCCCCATTGGCTCAGTTGCTACCCTCTCCCTTTCCAGCCTTTCTCCTGATTTTTGTACTCTGGAGTCACTGTTTCTGATTAACACCCCTCAGGGCAGGCAGCACATTCTTATGTGCCTGACCTCCATTCCAATTCCTCCGTCCCACCCATTCCCAAAGCAGGTTATCTCTATAGTCCTGTCTTGGGCCTGGGCAGCCCTGCTAGGGGGAGGGGGGAGGGGCAAGAAAGAGGGCAGAATACCCCCAGCTAACCTTTGGCTGAGTCAGGCAGAGGCCACGCACGAGGAGGATGGGAGGAAAGAAAGCAAAAATTCTAGAGGAATAGCAAAGGGGGAGGCACAGAAGGGAGGAGTGGGGAAGACAGAAGGCTAGAAGAGCCAATGGAAGGGCAAGAGAGGGAGATCTAGGGTGTGAAGACCCGGAGAAGGCCCAATAGACTGAAGTTGAAAGGTCACCAGCTCCCTGACTGGAGAACAAAGGGATTCTTTCCACCACCAGAGTAGGGCAAAAGAGCTTCCCCAGTCAGGGGTGGGTCAAAAGGTGAAAGCTAGTGAGCCTGCCAGCAGCCACTACAGCTCAGGAGTATATAGGCTTGCAAAGTCAACTTTATGAGACCACTGAGGCAGGCAGGTAGGTGGACCAGCGAGCACCTTTACATTAAAACAAGCATGGATATATTGTGGAATACAAGGCAAAACAAAACAACCAAAAAAAAATATGCTTTTTATTTTAAAGATAAAGCAGCCTTTAAAGAAAATTTTGGCTTGGAGGGCATCTTTCTGGACAATGTCCCAAACTGCTTCGGGTACTTATTATCTCTCCTCTGCCATTGGAGACTAATGAGTGGAGACTTGAAAAAGTCCCTGGTTGCCAGATGAAATACAGAATGCCAAGAATTTCAAATAATGCATAATGTTTTATATAAGTATACCCCAAATAGTTCATGGGACATACTTATACTAAAACATTATTCATTTTTTCATTTGAAATTCAAACGTGACTGGGTGGTCATCTGTATTTTTATTTGCTAAATTGTCAACATTACTTCCAAGGTATCCAAAGAGAGACTGCCCCACCGACCTGACCCAATGACGGTGCTAAGTCCCCTGTAACTCTCACCCACACTCCTATCCCGGACTCAGGTCCCATTATTATCACAAAGGGCTCCTCTATAAGCAATTCAACACTTCCATCTCTGCTCAGTCCAGGCACGTTAATCTTCTAGACTAACCGATAATATTACCTGCCACCCCATTCCTCTCCGTGCTGGTCCAGCCTACCCACCCCAACCCCTGCTTAAAGAGAGGCTGGTGGCTTCTCCATCATTTACTCTAAGCAATGTTTGTCTGTGTGTGTGTCATGGTGTCTTCTTGTCACATGTCAGTACCTTCCAAATACTGCGGTCAATACCACAGCACAGCTCGCAGCCCTCCGTGAGCAGATGTACACCAAGAATCTCTCTGCCTACATCATCCCAGACACGGATGCTCACATGGTAAGGGATGGCTTCGCCCCCACCTTTGCCCTCTGCGCTACACCCGGTCAGCCTATGAGAACAGGCCACAAACAGGAGGCTGTTAAGACTCCTGAAGTCAGAGACAGGATTTAACAGGTGAAAGGGAAGAAGTGGGGAGCTTAGACATGGGAGTTTGGGGCAGCTGAAAGAATATAATCCTTTACATAAGAGAGAAGACATTGCCACATCTTCTTGACCTTGGGCAATGAAACTATAAACAACTTCAGAGTCAATTTTGATCAATTCCTAGATGGCAAATCCAGAATGAATATTTAGGGCACCCTACCGTAGAAGGTTGGAATGTGGGCTGGGAATTTGACTGAAAGAATGCTAAGCTCCCTTACAGCTCAGCCCTTCCCATAACCTAATGGATGGAGCATTGAAATTATCCAGAACCCCAGACTAAATGAGTTTGGGGTGTAAGCTGGGGGAGAAAGAGCAGACAGAAAACAAGATGGTCTGAAGAAGAGCTGCTTTTCCCAAAGCAGCTTCCTTGCCCACCCATCCCACCATTTCCCACCACTGGTTCTACTTCCAACCCATCCACCTTCTCAGCACCAGCTCAGTTGGAAGAGAAGGAATTTTCAGTATCAATAAGATTAATTGAATTCGTTGTCCCACCTGCTGGGAAAGAAAAAGAACCTTGGGTAAGTGTCTGAACCTCAGCTTCCTCTTCTGCAAGATGGGAATAATGAAATCTGTCTCTAAGGATCATGAGAATCAAAATACAATAATGTGTAAAGCCTTCTGCAGAAGTTATTTATGATGTACTCAGTGTACTGCGCTGACTGAGGAGGGAGGGGGACAGCTAGAGGGGAAAAAAACCCCTCTAAAAGACATGATCCCAGAAGAACCAAAAGACATGATCTCAGACTGCACAGAATTTGCATTCTGGCCTGGTAGACAAGACTCTTGCAGAACAGTCCAGTGCTAGATTGTGGGGTTTAGACTCCAAGAGATACAATTGCTCAAAGGAAGGGATGATCCTGAGAACGGGGATGAGTTCCAGAGGGCTTCCTGGAAGATGTGTCCAACATGCCTGGGCTTGTAGGACTCATTAAATCTGATCATAAAGAACTAGGATGTGGTTGGGAACCTTCCATGTGGAGTCTGACTTAATGAAGAAGGCTAATGATGGTGTCACTGATTTCCTAGAACGAGTACATTGGTGAACATGACAAGCGACGTGCGTGGATTACAGGCTTTAAAGGGTCTGCAGGTAACAGCCATTACCTTACTCTCATTGCTTCTGTTGTTTGACCCAGAGGTGGTTACAGATACCCTGGTGTAGCTAGGTCCCAGAAGCCAAGGACCTAGTGTACACAGGCTCCTTGCTATTCTTTCTACCTCCCCTACACCACTCCAAAAAGGATCAGCAGGGCAGATGCCTCATCAGGTTCCCCAAGGCACACATCTCATAGCCACACTTCTGCATGAGGCAGATGGCCTTCCTGATTTATCTCCCATGCTCTCTGCCTCTGCTGCAGCCAGGCCCAACCTAGCACTCCCTGGGTTCCTTTTCTGGGACAATCGATAATTCTATGTCTAGCCACTAGGAGCCTGCTGATTCCCTACACACAATGGCTCACTTGCGGACAAAGTTTTACTTTGCTGGTCCTTTAAGGGGCAGCATTACTTAATATAGCCACATGAGACACAAATGTAGAGGCCCTTTATGGGGTCCCACTTTCCGAAGGAACCTCCCATCCTGATTCTGGCCCCTTGAATGAAATCCAAGCTTTGCTTGCTGATCCTTCAACATTCCTCCCCTGGTCTTCAAGGTGCCTTGCCTTTCCCATCATGGGCCCTTCTCTTTGCCAAAGTTGCTGGGTTTTCTCTGCCTATCCTCAGTTAAGCCCCTAGCTTTGTGTCCATATAAGACACTGAGTCTTGATACTGACTACACCATCTTTCCTGAGAGCACCTATATGCAGCATCAACTCTTTTGGACTGCCAAAAGCAGACCCCCACTTGTGCTAAAAGTCTTAATGACCCCCTTTGGAGAGGCCCTCATCACAAAGCAGAGATGCCTGACCCAAGACACTTTCTTCTGGCTTCTTCATCCTTTCATCAAGGCTCTCTAACATCTCCTGCCTCACATCCTTCCAATGGAGGAGAGAAACACTTCCCAGAGACCTCTGTGACAGTTTCAGTGCCAGCATTGTATTGCACATGCACTAACTAAAACCACATCCTTCACCTTCACCCTTGCCTCCAAGTTTCTCTGTTCTGCCCCAGGAATCGCAGTGGTGACCATGGGGAAAGCAGGTCTCTGGACCGACAGTCGCTACTGGACCCAGGCTGAACGGGAGATGGACTGCAACTGGGAGCTCCATAAAGAAGGTAGAAAGATGCATGGGTTTGTCCTCCAAGCCCTGAAACCTGAGCTAGACTTGGTGGCCTACAGGTGAGGGGGTGCATGTAAGGCCATGCTGGGTCCCTATGGGAATCTGGGGAAATCCGAGGCCATCCCTAAACTTTGAGGCTGCTATCAAGGAGGACACACGTGGCAAGACTCACAGACAGAAGCCTAGTTGGAAGGCCTAGGGCTGGCTCTGGAAGTAACCTCTGTGTTCCTTCCTGTCTTTTTCTCAGTTGGCACTGCTCCCATTGTCAACTGGCTCCTTACCAACATTCCTCCTGGAGGGCGCATAGGCTTCGACCCTTTCCTTTTCTCCATTGGTAAGTTCTTCCTTCAGTCCCTACATTTGCCCACACCAATGAAGGTGACTCGACTTCCCTGGGTTGTAAAGAAGCATACCTTGATAGAAGGAGGGTCAGGGTGACTCTAAAGATAGAGTGTTTGAACTTGTGGTTGTAGAATATTTTGCAATAAGGATATATTCATGGATTATGTAATGACAATATATTTAAAAGAACGCATAGATTTTAAGTAGAGTGCAGAGACCCAACCTATAAGACTCAGGGAATCATTAAGAACTAACAGATGAATAGGCTAGGATGTACTTAAACCAGAACCATTCTCTGGGACCTGAAACTCTACCAATTAGGACACTAGAATCACTTGGTAGCCCTCTTTTGGAATGCAGCTTGGAAGGGTCAAAAGAAGTGAGGGATTCTGAGTAAAGAAGCACAGTCCACTCCCCACAGGAATATAGCTCCCTAAGCTCTGGGGGCCAGTCTGCCACCCAAGGATAGAAACATGTACTGAAAGGCTCCCACTTCAAAACTGGCTTCTTTGACAGCTTTTCCAATGTCCTACACATTACCATTCCTTTGGGCTGTGGCATTGAAGCTCTGTTAAAATGGATAGCACCAAAAGAGGGCCCCATAGCCATTGGCACTTAATAAGATGAGCTTAGCCAATTGGCTGTGGACAGCATTGGGGTGGGCTCAGGGAAGTTAGGCTTTGAAAGTGGAAAGAGGAAGGTATGAGGACAGGACCTAGGAGGGTCAGACTGCTTCAACAGGCTCTGGGCAGCTGGGCCTACAGAAACTGAACAGGGGACAGAGTGGACAAGGACTAGCTTTGCTTGAGTCACAATTTTTCCTGAGGTGTAAATGGGCAGCAGACAAATGACTCCTTCCTGTTTCTGCAGGCTCCTGGGAGAGTTATAACAAGGCCCTCCGAGGCTCTGACAGAGAGCTGGTGTCCATCACAGACAACCTTGTGGACCTGGTGTGGGGGTCAAAGAGGCCTCCAGTTCCAAGTCAGCCCATTTATATCCTGCAGGAGAAGTTCACAGGTGATTCCCCTAAGCCAGTTCTTCTTCCCAACATGTAGCAACATGGGTCTCCGCTACTGCTCCTTTGGCTGAAAAATTTGTCCTAAGAGGTAACAAATCAATGGTTCTGAAATCTTCATGTACACCAGAATAATCTGGGGTGCTTGTTTAAAATGCATATTTCTGGACCCCCTCAAACGTGAGTCCAAATCAAAAGGTCCTCAGACCTTATTTAGAAATGCTGAAATAAGGAGTATTATGAGTTGAAGTAAGAGGGAGCAGGAAGGGAAGGAAACAAGGGAGTCGGAGAAAGATGAAAAAAAACCTCACCTTTTTGAAGAGAGAAAAAACATGATGTGAGTTGCTTGCCTGGTATTTGAGATTGGTTTGTACTGAAGCATTCAAACCTTGACTTCCAGCCCTCCTGTGATGAGGACTTTAGATTTAGGATGGCTGGAGTTGGGTGGGCCGGGGTAAACAAAGGGAGTAGATAACCTCAGGGTCAGTCTGTGGCACAGATTAGGGTGTGAGTTTCGGCTGGACCACAAAGGAACATTAACTGACCCCAAAAACTCTATCAATAATCATGACCCTGTTAACACCATATAAATACATCATAAAAGAACAGTATGCTCTGTGATTCTTGTAAGTAGTAACTCAAATCCTGGCAGGACCAGGCTATTGACTGTGAATCAGTGTCTTGGCCAACACCATCCTCCACCTTCCTGAGAATTCTGAATACGCCAGTGGATTGGGGTTCCTAAGAATATTGGGCAATCTGAGAGGCTCCTTTTTTACGTGCGGCCCATGCACATCTGTTGTTTGGAAAGGAGTAAAAAAAAACAGGAGTGAAATTTCAAAATAGCAGGTCTGATGAAACAAGTTAAAATTGTGTCCAATTTTCTTTATCTGTTCTGACATACATTGCAGAATCATTCTTTCTGCATCTCGACACAGTTTTTAAAGAAACTTGCTATCCAAGACTGTTCAATCAAAAATAAAATTTACCTCATTCAAATAAACAAAGTTGCAGTTATGTCGGGAAGGGGAGAGAATAAAGGATAGTGGGAGACAATTTGTGTGAGTTTTGTCACTTCCCACAAGTTAGGGGAAGCCGAGCCTTCGTAGGCTGCTAGTTTTCAAGAAAGAGCCATCCAGTGCCAGAACTGGGCCTGGAAACTCAAGAACAGAGCTCTTAAGTCTCTAAGGTTATAAAGTTGAGAGAGACTGTCTCCCCAAGCAACTCATAGATTTTAAAGGGCAGAAAGGATAAAGGGAAGAACATGAAAAGTTAGTCACTCAAAGATACCTATATGTATCAGACAATTTAAATTTGCTTTCATTAATGGTCTCAAAAATGTATCATATCCATAAACCTTGAAAACAGAATTCAGAGTGAAAGAAGCCAGTCAAGAAGGCCTCAGATTATGTAATTCCATTTGTATGAAATATCCAGCAGAGGCAAATCCATTGAGACAGAAAGCAGATTAATGGCTTCCAAGATCTGGGGGAAGGCGGGAATAGGGAGTGACTGTTTAAGGGCTACAGAGTTTCCTTTGGGGATGATGAAAATGTTCTGGAATTAGATAGTCATGGTGGCTGCATAATCTTGTGAATGTTCTTAAAGCCACTGAATTCTGCACTTTAAAATAGTTAAAATGATATATTTTATGGTATGTGCATTTTATCACAGTAAAATAAAATAAACCTAAACATGTATTATATCCAAAGCTTTGGTTCTTGTTGAATCATTTTACCTGTTTTCATAAAGTGTTTTTTAATGACATTAAGTTATTTATGCTAATCTCTGAGACCAACTAGGACTCTTTTTTTATTGGGGAATTGGAGGAGGGGAACAGCGTTAGGGAATCGGGGAAGGGGAACAGACAAGTTGCTGTCCTTTTGTTCTTCAGTCTAGTTGTGGAGGACGTTGCTTCGCTGGCCCAAGTTGGCACCATCATTGCACTCTTCCCGCGTGAGGCAGATCAGTCGTCGGCTTCTGGACAGCGGCTCACGGCGGCTGCTGGCCACTCACGCTGGCTGCTGGCTACACACAGTAGCCCATGGCAACCCACTGCAGCAGAGGCTGCAGCCTATGCCATTGCTGGCGACTCATGGCAGCCCAGCTCCAGGTTGAGCTCCAACTAGGACTCTTAATGTGTATGACCTTCTGCCAGTAAATTCCTCGCCCTGCTTAGAGGTAGACTCTTTACATGCATTACAGGGAGCAGAAATAAAATATGGAAACTAAACTCCTAGGACCAGGATACAAGCATTCCAGAAAGGGCAGCTCTGTAATACCGTGTTTAAGGACAGGTTTGGAGACTGACAATATTAGCAAGATAGTCCAGTGTCTATACAGATTAAGAGTGTGAGCCATGTAGTCAAACAAACCTGGGTTCAAATTTCAGCTCCACCTCTTGTCAGCTATAAGACCCTAGATAAATCACTTTAAGATTCAATTTCCTTATCTGTAAAATAGGCCAAATAAAAATTAAAACAATAATGTACATGAAGGGCTTTGTCCAGATCTGTGGCTTATTAAGCAGAGTGGTTACTGCAGAGAAGAGGCTTAAACATGACCCAGCCCTATCACTTTTCCCTTCAACTAGGGCTGCTCTCCTGATCTCTGTTCCGCATGCATATTTATTGCTCAGAAAGTTATACCAGACTTACTATACTCCAAGACACCATTCTATGTGCATTACAAATATTAATTCATTTGATTCCCCACAAAAACCCTATTGAGGTAGATACTATCATTATGATTCAATTTTATTTTACACATGTGCAAAATAAGACACAGAGGTGCTAATTAATTTGCCCAAGGTCACACAGCTAGTAATGACAGAGCTAGGATTTGAACCCACAGAGTCTGGGTCCAGAGCCCATGTCCCTAACAGTTACACAAGTAAGAGTTTGCTTAAAGAAAGAGTTCCAGTGCTTGTTTGTTTGTTTGTTTTGTTTTGTTTTGCTTTTGTTAAATTATTTTGATTATGAAATACACATTTTTTAGAATTAGTTTCAGCTGTACAACTCTAGTGCTTTTAAAGAAATGAAAAACTATTGCCCTAAGGGAACTCTGTTAGGAACAGAGTGTCAGAGACAAGGTATGTCACTTATGCTTTCTTTGGGCTCTTTTGCTTCTAGGGAGCACCTGGCAAGAGAAAGTATCTAGCATCCGTAGCCAGATGCAGAAGCATCACAAGGCCCCAACTGCTGTGCTTCTATCGGCGCTTGATGAGACAGCCTGTGAGTACATGTAGGCACCTGGGTCTCCACAACTCCCAAGCCTCCTGGGCCCTGCAGTGCAGGAATCCTCCCCAACCACCAGGTGCCCACCAGTTTTTTGAGCTCTGTGCCCATGGCCTGTGAGAACTAAGAAGGGGAGGGAACCGGAGATCATGTCTGCCAAAAAAGGCAACCAGGAAGCCCAGGGCAAACTGGGGCCAGCCCCCAGGTCACTGCAGGGATAGACTGACCACAGCAGCAAAGGTTTCAGTTTCATGAAAGGGAAGAGACCCAGCAAATACGTCCTAGCAGCCTGGCCATCATCCTAGGGCACTCACACACCCAGCACACCTGTTTTCAGATAATCTGGGAACCCACTAAAACTGCGTGCTGACTGCTGGCTGGGTATCTTCATTTTTTGAAAGAAAGGGTCCATAGCTCTCATCCGTGCCACAGAGACCCCCACCCACCCACCCAAAGACTAAGAAACATGCAAAGGTAGATGATGCAGGTGTGCTGCTGGCAATCTTTGGGGTCCAAAGCAAACAGCGGGACAAAGGCATCAGATGGGCTGGGCTCAGGCAGCTCAGTCTCATAAATAGTCTCCATCAATCCTCTTCCCCAGGGCTCTTCAATCTTCGCAGTAGTGACATCCCTTATAACCCCTTCTTCTACTCTTACACACTGCTCACGGACTCTTCCATCAGGTATGGCTTTTCCTTGGCTTGCTATGGCGGACTTCCTCCAATTTCCATCTCTCACTGCTGCACCACTTACCCTGTCTCAATATGCAGCCTTACAATGAGCTTAGAACTTTTCCTGACATCTTGATTCCTGTTCCCACTTACTCGAAACCTGGTCTGCTCGGCTCCCTGACCTTCAGCAGCAAAGGTCCTCTGGTCCTTTGGGTTGTCCTTAGACACCGTCAGGACCCTTTCAATCTTGCCTTCACACCCAGATTATTTGTAAACAAGAGTCGCTTTAACTCTGAGACCCTGCAGTATCTGAACTCCAACTGCACAAGCTCCATGTGTGTGCAACTTGAAGATTACAGCCAAGTCCATGACAGCGTCCAAACCTATGCCTCAGGAGCTGTGAGGATCTGGATTGGGACCAGCTACACTATGTATGGGCTCTACAAAGTGATACCTGAGGTGGGTTTGCCAGGCCCTAGCCTGGGCCAGGCACTGCCCCCATTCTAGCCCTGGTAAATCTCACCTAAAGTGGTGCCCTCAGCCATTCAGGCAGTTGTTCAGTCGACAATGGTGCAGTGAGTCCCCTTCTAGGCCTCCCTGGGAAGAGAAGGAAGAAGAAGAAGCCGGATGTCTGTCCACAGAGAGCTCAGAGATTGTCAAGGAAGCTAAAGGGAGTACAGCCTGGTAGAGCGGCTTTGAGGTTGCCAAACCTGGGACTTGAGTCCTGGCTCTGCCCCAAAATGGCTGTGCAACGACCTTAGACAACTAACTTAGCCAAGCTGGGCCTCTGTTTCCTCACCTGTAAAATGGCAATAAGAATCTCAACCTCAGAGAAGTCGCTCTGAGGAGCTTTAGAGTAGATAGTGCACGTAAAACCCAGTGCTCAATAAATGGCAGATGTTAGGGTATGATATGTGCAGGGAACTCACACTGTCAGAACAGCCCATCAACTGGTTGGGTCCAAGCTCTTATCCGTCTCAGAGTGCTGGTGGGATCCAGTGTCAGGGAGGAATGGAGGAAGGGAGGGAAGAAGGCTAAGCTGGACTTGGAAGACTAGGAAAGACTTGTACAGCCAGAAAGCACACAAGTAAAGGTCATTGCCACCATAGGACCTAGCAAGTCTACCCTCAGCCAGGCTTTCCTACCAATCCTTTTCAAACACTGCTGCTGTGCACTGGAGAGGGTTCCCAAACCTTTTCCTCTCCGCCTTTGACAGGAGAAACTCATAGCAGACACCTACTCCCCAGTGATGGTGACCAAGGCGGTGAAAAACAGTAAGGAGCAGACTCTCCTCAAGGCCAGCCATGTAAGTCCATGGGCAGGCAGAATAGCCTTTTGGGAGTTCCTGGTTTGATGGGTTAGAAAGGAAATCCTGCAGGAAGAGCCTGAAAATCCCCTCAATGAAACAAAGAAGTGGACACAGAACTCCTGGGTACCTACTGGTGCTTTACTCCCATACTCCCAGCATGGTACATTGGTTTAAAGCACAGGCCCTGGAGCTAGGGTGTCTGAGATCAAACCCCAGGTCCTCCACTCACCTCCTTGAACAAGACGCTTCACCTCCCTGGGCCTTAGTTACTTCATCTGTGAAATGAGGATCACAATAGTACTCAATAGCACAGGATTGTCTTGAGGATTAAATAAATAAATGTAAAAATATATATATATAGTATACAATATATAAACCACATATAACATTACAATATAAATAATACAGTCATACCTCAGTATCCACAGGGGATTGGTTCCAAGACCCCCTTGGATACCAAAATCTTCAGATGCTTAATTTTCTTATGTAAAATGGTGTGGTATTTGCATATAACCTATGCACATCCTCCATATACTTTAAATCATCTCTAGATTACTTATAATACCTAATGAAATGTAAATATGCTATAAATACTCATTATAAAGTATTATTTAGAGACCAACTTTCTGAATTTTTTCTAATGTATTTGACCCGTGATTGGTTGAATCCATGGATATGGAACCTGTAGATACAGAGGACCAACTATATATAATAAATACTCATAAATGATTAATATATGTTTATTTTAAATGTTTATAATAATGTATAATCAATATACAATCATATATTATATAAATATGTATATACATTTACATACATATAATGTGTATATACATATAAATATATACTTATATAAATATGTAATAATCATATACATTATATAAATCTATAATTTTATATAAAATAGAATTATATATATATATAATTATTCTATTAATGATACATGTATTGCTTTGAGCACCACCTGGCATAGCTCAAGTGTTAAATAAGCATTTTCTATAATGATTTCCTCACCCTGGCAAGAGGATGGCTCACTCTTTTGGATAGTCCTGTTAAAATAAGGATAAAGCACCTCATTTTAGAAAACTTCTTCTTATGGAAAATTTTAAATGTATGTAAAGGTGGAGAACATAGCATAACAATCCCCATGTACCACCACCCGGCTTCAACTGTCATCAAGTCATGGCCAATACCATTTCGTCTGCAAGCCCACATTCATTACCTCCACTTCCTTACCCTCTGCTGCTGTGTGAGCTTAAAGCAAATCCCAGATAGTGTATCTTCTCTTCCGACAACACATCAGTATCTCTAAAAGATAAAGACTTTTCAAAACATCATCACACTGTGATCACATAAACATTAACAAGAATCCCTTAATATCATCAAATAACCCGTGAAACCCTCGAGTTCTTCAAGCTCAGCTTCCAGAGCAGCCACCTGATCTTGTCCTTCCTGAGCCCTGCCAGAGACTGTTCCTCAGCAGGCTTCTCCACTTGCCTCACTCCAGGTGCGGGATGCTGTGCCCGTGATCCGCTACTTGGTCTGGCTGGAAAAGAACGTCCCCAAAGGCACAGTAGATGAGTTCTCAGGGGCAGAGCTGCTGGATAAATTCCGAGGGTGAAGGACTACAGCTCTTTTTTGGCTATCTTTTCATGTAGGGTGGGGACAAGAAGGGGGACTTGGTCTCCTTACTTAGAGAGAAGGAAGACCCTCTTTGTATTGGGGGTGCCTCTCTAGACCAAGGAGTAACAGGTTCTTGGGTGGTCCCAGTGCTAGGCAAGAGGTGTTGGATTACGCTCTCCAGCCCCCAAAACTGCAAAGGCAACAACGCAACTGCGCTCCCTCTTGTTTGCTTCAGGCATAAGCCCGTTCTCCCTGGGGTAGGCTGACTCAGGCCTGTTGGCCCCTGGACCATTCGAGAATATCAAGTTGAGGAGGGAGGTTTCTGAGGGCACATTTGGCCCAGGCCATGGGCAAACTATAGATTTGAGGTGCAGGATGCTGTTCCAGCATTGGACGGCGGGGGGTTAAATACAGGAAGCTAAATTTCTTCACTCTTGCTTTAACACGAAACAATGTGAATCATACAGACCTTGGTTTCCTCATCTGTGAAATGGAGGTGGAAAGAGAATGACTGATGTCTACAGTCCCTCCTTCTCTGACCTTGAATGGTCTATAAGTGGCATGCTGGGGCTTGAGAGGATGGAACCAGGAGGTGGGGCTGGGAGAGTCTGGCTGAGTTAGAGGCAGCCATGACCTGCATTTGTTCTTGTTAGATATTCTGGACCCCTCCTAGCCCATGAGCCCATTCATTGACCATACCTGCCTTGTACTTTGCAGAGAGGAAAATTTTTCCTCTGGACCCAGTTTCCAAACCATCTCTGCTGGTGGTCTGAATGCTGCCCTGGCCCACTACAGGTATTTCAGGAGAAAGACTTTTCTAGAGCTCTGTGGGAAGATCCAAGTGTATGTGAATAAGGAGAAAGGGGATGGAGGAGAGAGTGCTCTGGGACCTGAGCCCATATTAAATGTTGAGGACTTTAGCACTATGGGGGCTATAGGTGGGGAGTGGAGTTCAGCCAGGGGTTGGAAGTTTCCTTGGAATTAAAAGACCTGAGCAATTATTCCCCCAAGAGGCTTGGGCTTTGTCAGTGCTCAAGGCTGAGGGATCTGGAAGGGAGGCAGGGCTGCTGCTGGATGCTTTTCTTTAGAGTCTTGTGAGTTATGTTAGTTAATTCTTAGAGCTCACAAGTGCATAGGGAGAAAGGCCCATTCCTTCAGCCTGAACCAACCATGGTGGGCCCAAGAAGTAGGCTGGCCAGGTGTTTGGCTCCACAGAAAACAGACACCTGCAGACCTGCCTGATGAAATTTGGGAGGGCAAGTTGACCAGATGCCTCAGCCTTGGGAGGGAGAAGTCAGACACCCTCCAAGTGCTGGCCTGGCCTATCCCAGAATTCCCTGATAATACTGGTATGTATCTTGTACCCCACCTTGTTGGGCCAGGGTGGGGTAGAAGATATATACCAGTATTGTCCCCCAGAATCCACTAGGGAGAAGTCAGACTCCCTCCAAGTGCTGGCCTGGCCTATCCCAAAATTCCCTCTCCCAAGGCTTCAGGTGCCTTGGTCCAGCTCTTTCTCCCCACTAGAGAATAGCAGTGTAGGAACGTCTTGGCCCTACAAAATCTTGCTCTCCAGGCCCACCCTCGAGTATTCACCCTTCCTGTTCCCTGGCTTCTCAGGGCTCTCTGCTCTGTATGCAGCAGAGGTTAGAGAAAAAGCACTGGACTAAGTCAGGGTCCAGGCTCAGCTCCCTCCCAGCTTTACCACATGGCCTCATGCAAGCCCCTAGGCCTCTGCAGGTCTGTTTCTCCTTATGTAAAAGGAGATGGCTGCACTGGGTGCTCTCTAAGTCTCTCCTAGCTCCCACATACTGGGCTCTTTCCTTTCTCTCTTCCCCTGGGACCAGGAACTTGCTTGTGAAGTGCAAGATAAACAGATGCACACTGAGGACATTAGTGGCAGAAGCTGAGTACTCTCCCAGGGCCCTTTGGGAGATACTGACTTTCCCAAAGAAATCAGCCTAGAAGCCCAACCCCACGGGTGGGGGCTCTTCCTCTGTTTTCACTCAGGACCCCCACAGTGCAGGGTTAGGCTGCTCCTTTTCTCAGCATCTCTCCCATTCTCAGCCCAACCAAGGAGCACCACCGCAAGCTGTCCTCAGATGAAATGTACCTGGTGGATTCCGGGGGACAATACTGGTACGTATCTTCTACCCCTCCCTGGCCCAACTGTCTCAGCTCAGACACCCTGGGCCAGCCAAGAACTGGCCAAAGCTTTCCCTTCCTGGACATAGGTTCTTCATCTGAGAAATAAGAGGCTTGCATTGACTGAGCCTGAACATCCCATTTTTACACTGGGGGCAGAGGCGGGGTTCTCTGCACAGTGGGAAGCACACAGAGACCAAAACAGTGGGGCTTCCCATGCAACACCTCAGTGAGAATCAGGAAAAGACTTCCCTTTCTCAAATAAAATGTTTTTATGCTCACATATTATTACACAGTCTGAACAGCCATGCTTCGCAGCTCTGCCCAGCTGCACAGACACTACATCCATATTCTCACGCACTCAGGCACAACCCGGACAGGGCCTGTACACCACCAGCACCATGCATCCCCCTCAGCCCTCTTCCCACCACCACTGCATGGGTGAGGTGATCATGTCAGGTTGGGGGTGGGGGCAGACCCGGATCTGCAAAAGGAATAGGCAGGTAAAAGAAGCAATGTCAGGGGACACCCAGAGCGCAGTTGGGACAGGGTACACCCATCAGCGTGGCTATGTGTCTCTGAGTAGGTATGTGCTCATGTTCTTCTGAGTGCATGCACAACCATGTATAAGGCACTCTCCTATGTAAGACGGTGTTCTCCCCCTGTGCCAGGACTCCACGATCTGTGTGTCCATCTGTGTGCTCTCACTGAAATCAGTACAGAACCATGAGGTGAATGGCATCCCTTTAGATGTGTTACCCTTATACAGTGCACAAACGGAACACCCGGATATGATGGCCATGCAAAATAGGCTAACCCAATTCCTCCCAAATGTGTGACCAATCATTCACCCCGGAGCTGAGATGAGAATTGCTGGCATATTTTCCCTTCTCCTCTAGGAAGCAAGTGGACTGTGGGAAGCTTGGAATTGGGGAAAGGAAGGGGTGCCAGAACTGATGGAGGTGTAAGGAGTAGTTTCAAGCAGTTTGCCATCCTCTATCCTGTGGAAATGGTGAATGCGCTAATGACAAAAGCATTCCGCATGTTCCAAGCACAGCTCTGGAAGCCAGCGCAGCAGGCACTCAGCTTGACAGCCTTTCCTAGCTGCAACTGTGTCTCTGTGTGTACTGGAGACCGTCAATATGCAAAGGGGAAGTTAATTTGTGGGGCGTTGCTGGATTGGGGTACACTCAGAGCAGGGTGAGGCCCGTGAAATGGTCACCTCACTTCCTCTTCTCTCCTTCTAAAAAAGTCTGCCACGCCCTGTGACCTGCTCCCAATGAGGGCTCCCCAGGGCCCTGAGACCATTTAGCTCCCTCCCCCTCTCTTCTCCCTGGAGTGAGGAGGTGGCCACATCAGCCATCCTGGGGGAACAGCTGCAGATGGTGTTCAGGAGTCAGACATTTTGGCTTCTGGCTTCAGTTCACTGGGACTCTGAGCACATTTTTTCATCAGATCCATGTTTACAATGGAGAGAACTGTGGAGAGTGAGTGCTTGCTGCAGGCCTGGTTTCACTGAGGCTCAGAGAGGTAGACAGCCTCCTGGCCTCAATTGCCTCATCTGTGAAGTGGGGATAATGAGGCCTGCTCTACCACAGTTCCCAGGGAGCTGCCCCAAGGGTTCTACAGCTGGTAAATAACTATCTCAATGTGTGAGTGTTATGATTTCTATGGACCTCAGTTCCCCCATCTGTACAAATGGGACAATCCCCTCCCACCTCTCAGTAAGCCTGGAAGAAGCCTTGCTTTTAGAGCCAACCTGACCCAAGCAAACCCAGGTTTACAAACAGCCAAAATGGTGGGGGGCGTGGAGGTGGAGTATGCTTGTGGGGAATCAGGATTGCCTGACAATATAATGATTTGAACTTGATAGCTTTGCAGAGCTCCTTCACACATAGATGCGGAAGATGGGCATTTGATGATGGCAGCCATTTTTTTCCCTTTCACCCCCTTCCCCACCACCATTCCAGCCATGCTGCTCAAACCCCAGTGGAAAGCACACAAGAAACACATCACCATGATCCCTGTCCCCAGATATTCAGCAGAATTAGACATGTTGATTTTTCTTTTCCACAGGGACGGAACCACAGATATCACCAGAACAGTCCACTGGGGCACCCCCTCTGCTTTCCAAAAGGTAAGCATTGAACCCAGATTTCCCCTACCCATCCTCATTCAAGGAACACCCACGAAATCATTCCACTAAGAGCCCTTTCATCTCACAGAGGCTAAAACTGAGGCCCAAAGAGGTTAAATAGTTTACCCACAGTCACACAGTAAGTTAGTATCAGAAAACCCCGTCCTTCCAGCTGCTTCTCCAGAGATGTTTCAGGCTACTAACAGAACTCCACAATCTGTGTTACCACCTGTGTGTCTTCATTGAAATTAGTACAGAACCCCGAAGTGATTGGCATCCCTTTAGATGTGCCCAAGCTTATCATCTTCCCCTTTCAGTAAGTCAATGAACAAATATTTATTTGGTGCTAACTGTGTGCCTAGCCCTGTGCTCAGCAGAACGGAAGAAAAAAGGCATTCCAGGAGGAGAAACGTCACAAGCAAAGTCTCGGAGGTGGAAAGGAACTGGAAGTTTTCAGGAAGCAGTGAGGGCTTGTCTGCCTAGTATAGAGGCTGAGACCTCATCTATGTGTACTAGTTGCAGCTTAGACGTTATGCTGAAAACAGAGAAAAAAACCAACACGGGTCAGCTTCAAGGAGCTCATAGTTAGTGGGTTGAGTCTGCTGCCCAAGATTGTTGTGTCCGAGATGACAAGCCCGTATGTGTGTGTTGTGGGGTGGGGGTGCTAAGAGGATTCACCACGTCACCACAAGGAGTGAACAGGAGAAGAGATGTCTGTCAGCCCACCTTCCTTCCTCTTTCCACAAGTTAACAGCCCCGACTGAGCAAGGCTGCCCTGCCAGATTATCAGATCCCAACCTAAATTTAAGGCCTTAAGAAAACTAAAGGACAGTCATAATATTGGTAATAAGGGCACAGACCTCAATTTGAGCATTTACTCTGTTTGGAGCACCTTACGTGCATGCGTCTATCTACTTCTCCCAGCAACTTTATGAGCCGGTACTGTGACTGCCACATTATAGACAAGAAAAATGAAGTGCAGAGACATTCAAGTTGCTTGCTCAAGGTCTCAGAGTTTGTAGGTGACCAAGTCAGGATTCCAGCCCAGGGAATTTGCCTCCCAAGCTCCTGCTGTCACAGCCTTATCTTACCACCACCTACAAGCATCCCTGTGGGCCAGACAAAGAGTACTTACATGGACTAAGCCCCAACTTTGGACAGGTTCCCCTCAGCTTCCTCTGGCCTTCTTCCAGAACCTGGGTGACCACACATAAGCATTCACCTCCCCCCCTAATGTCCCCCACAGGCCTGGGCCCACACACCTGTGTATACACAGACCAAGCAGCTGGAAACGCCCAGGCTCCCCATCTTGTGCTCCATATTACTTCTCCCTCTCCCCATCAGGAGGCATATACCCGTGTGCTGATAGGAAATATCGATCTGTCCAGACTTGTCTTTCCTGCTGCTACATCAGGTAGGTTTCAAAGACCTGGCTGGACCCAGAGCCTTAGGCCCCGATTTCACTAGACCTACGCCACCAGCCTGGGGTGTGGAGGCCAGTGAGGCAAGGATTATATCATCATCCCGTACATTGTGTATATAGGAAAATCCAGACCAGAGAGAGAAAGAGGGATTTGCCCAAGGTTACACAGAGGGTTAGTGGGAGAGCCAGGCCTCCTGACTCCTAACCTAAGGGTAGCTCAGAGGTGGGGGAAGTTGGTGTGGGCTGTGGCAGTCATGGGAGGATCCCTGAAGGTAGATGTCTTGACAGATGGGGAGAAATTGTTGTAGAGTTGTCCGTCTGGGTAATGGGTACACTGTAAGTACTGCTGGAGACAGTGCATGCTTACCTGCCTCTCAGAAACCCCTCTCCACAGGCACAATCCTGGTAGTTGGCTCTGAAATGAGAAATCAAGAAGGAGCAAGGCCAACAGTCTGCGGTCCAGCCAACTGACTGGGTGCCATCTCTCTTCCAGGACGAGTGATAGAAGCCTTTGCTCGCAGAGCCTTGTGGGATGTTGGGCTCAATTATGGTCATGGGACAGGCCATGGCATTGGCAACTTCCTGAGTGTGCACGAATGTAGGTGTCTCCACAACACTCCCCCGGGGTCCCCTCTCTTCTGAAGGTGGTAGAGCCTTTCACAGTTATGGAAATGGCCAAGACCCTCAGAGATGCACTGATCTACCCAAGGTTACCCAGCTGGTGGTAGGTGATGCTCTGTGGGGTAAGTGAGAAATTCTGGCACCAGGCCACTCCTGCTACCTGCCTGGCATCTGAGAGGGCCTCTGAGAGAGGAGCAGATCAATGCTTAGTGGCTGACTGGGATAAACTCTGCAGAAGTAAAAGCCAGAGCCAATCTGCTCTGTACCAGCCCCAGGTAGACAATGATGTGGTAGACAAGTGCTGCTAGAGATTCCCGGGGACCCCCAGTTCCTGCTGTTCCCCAGAGCCTGCCAGTTTCCAAGTTGGTAAGTACAAGAAAGCTGACACTGTGCCCACATCTCCCTTTCTAGGGCCAGTGGGATTCCAGTCCAACAGCATTACCATGGACAAGGGCATGTTCACTTCCATCGGTATGACTCTCAGGCTCCTCCACCTCTCCCCTCCCCAAGACTAGCCCAGGATTGCAGTCTATGAAATATGACAGACATAGGCACACCCAGGCTCCGCTGCTACCCTCCCTCACCTCCCCACTCCCAGCCCTAAATGGATTTTCCCACCCTAACCCCAGGCCCCTGCCGCCCATATCCTCATTTTGCCCTTGGGAGTTTGTTCCCAGCTGCACATCAAAATTCTAGTCTCCAATCAAATGTTGGGGTAACAGGACCGTGGCACACAGGGAGATGGGAATACCTCCAGGACCCAAGTGAACCCTGAAGTCTTTCCTGCTGGGCTACAAAGGAGGGTGAGGGAGTTGAGGCCTGGCAGGTGCCTCTGGTTTATCAGTGAGCATCTAACAAATGGTGAGTCTGTCCCAGCCACCAGCCAAGGGCAACTAAGCAGCTGTGCCCTGTAGCCACTCCTCAATTGATACAGGAAGCCTAGGCTCAGGTCCCCCCCCCCTGATTAATGCCACCAGCACCTCTGTGTCTCCAGAACCTGGTTACTATCACGATAAAGAATTTGGGATCCGTCTTGAAGATGTGGCTCTCGTGGTAGAAGCAAAGACCAAGGTAAAGTGCCACCGAGATGGGCTAGAGGTTTGGACAGCATGGCAGTGACTTTGGGCTGTGGGTAGGTGGGGGGAGGGTAAGGAAGGTCAAAGGAGAAGGGCTTCTGAATGTGTAGACACGAGTTTCTTTGAAGTCTTCCTTAGCTCCAGAAAATTTCCATAAATCAGATTTTCTCAAACCTGTTTGCACATTAGAATAGTAAAATCATCTGTAGAGTGTTTTTTGTTTGTTTGTTTGTTTTTTTAGCTGAGCCATCCCGCCACCTGTTGGCAGCTCACGGCTGCTCAGCTCGGGCTGACTCGAACCGCTGTTGCTCAGAGCTCAAACTCTTGAGCGAGCTCTTAACCAACTGAGCCACTCAGCCGGCCCCGAGTGTTTTTTTTTTTAATGATAATACCCAGGTCCCACTCCAGACCAAATTAGTCAATATTCCTGCCCTAAATCATTGGTTCTCAGAGCATACAATAATCACCAGGGGAGCTTGTTAGAAGTAAATATTCCATATAATAGCAACCAAAGAGATAAAATACCTAGATACGAACTTTAAAAGGCATACATGGAGAAAATCTCTACTGAAGGACATAAAAAAGTGTTAAATAAATGGTTCTCTCTGGAAAGAAGCCTCAACATTATGATGATGTCATTTCTCCCTAAATGAATCTATACATTCAATTTCAACAGTGCTAACTGGATGCTTTCGTAACTTCACAAAATGATAATAAAGGTTATTTGTAAAAATAAACATGTAAAGATAGCAATGGAGCTAGGAAAATTCTGGAAAAAAAAAAGAGCAGTAAGGGAATCTGCCCTCTCAGACATTAGTGCATGATATGAAGCTACCATAGTTAAAACAGTGTGACACTGGAGATGGGAGAGACAGAAGTAACAATGGAACAGAAGATGTAGTACAGAAATTGACCCTCTAAAATCCATAAATAAAATGAAAATTTAGTTTATAATAAATCTGGCATTTCAAAACAGAAAAGAAGAGAGAGATTATTTAGTAAATGGAAGGGAGAACAAATGGCTAATCATTTGGGGATGGAGATAAAACTGAAGAACCTCACTATTGCACCAAAATGAAATCCCAAATGGATCAAGGTTTAAATGTGAAACCATAAAAGGTCTAGAAGAAAACCTATATGAATTCATTTAGAATCCCAGGGTGGAAAAGGGCCTTTCTATGCAAGATTCAGAAGCCATGAAGAAAAAGATTGATAATTCTGACTAAAACATTTTTTTAAAGGCTATATGGGAACAATACCATAAATAGTTCAAAAGATGTATGACAAGTCCAGCATATATGTCAGAGAAAGGGTGAATGTCCTTCTTTTTACCATGAGCTTTTACAAATCAATAAAATAAAAATAGGGAAAACAAGGGCACCGGGTTAGTTCAGGTGGTTAGAGCGCAGTGCTGATAACACCAAGGTTGCCGGTTTGATCCCCACATGGGCCACTGAGCTGCGCCCTCCACAACTAGATTGGAACAACTACTTGACTTGGAGCTGGTGAGTCCTGGAAAAACACACTGTTCTCCAATTTTAAAAGATGGAAAACAGAAAAAAAAAACAAGCAAAGGACGTGAAGAGGCAACTTCAACACAGACAGATGGTCCGTAAACGTGAAAAGATGCTCAACTTAGTTCATAAAGAAATACAAATCAAAACAACAATAGAATACCATGCTTCACCTATCCGATTGGCAAAAATGAGAGACTTTGGTGATATCCAGTGCTGGTGAGTTTGTGGAGAAACAGGCACTCCCATACACTGCTGGGAGAAGTACGAATTGGTACTACCTTACTGGAGGGCAGTTTGATAGTATCTATCGAAATTCCTATTAAAATTCCTGTACTTTTTGTTTCAGCTTTCCCTCTGCCAGATATATGCCTTCTGGATATAGTCCCAAAAGTTCACCGATATATTTATACACAATGATGTTGATTGCAGCATTGATGGTAACAGTTTAAAAAGTGGAAACAACCTAAATATCCATCACTAGTTAAATAAATAATCACCTGCATACTATGGACCCTTATGCAGCCTTAAAAAGAATGAGGTGCATCTCCCTGTGCTAACATGGAGTGCTCTCCTAGGTTCACTACTGCGGTGGGGTGAGGGAGAGAATGTGCAGAAAAGTGTATGATAGGATCCATTTTTCATGAATTTTTAAAATATGTGCATATATATACTGTATATGCCTAAAATGTTTTCAGGAAGGAAAGTGGGCAGGGAAGAGACTTTCAGTTTTTATTGGGTGTATTTTTGTTCTTTGACTTTTCTAAGCACACACATGCAAGAGCTCTCTGGGGGATGAACATTGTAGGCTAATTTTTCTTCTTTATACTTATCTCTACAGATAGATCCATTGATAGATGATAATAGAAAGATAGATATAGATACAGACAGACTACATAGATAGATAGATAGATAGATAGATAGATAGATAGATAGATAGATAGATAGATATAAAAACCTAATAGTTATCTGAAAGTTATTTAAATATAGGTTCCCAGCCCTGCCCTAGAGATTCTCACCCCAGTGGTCTGCCGGTTGGGCCCCAGGATCTACACATTTAACAAGCTCCCTACGTGCTGTGTGAATGCCCACACTTTGAGAAATATAGACCTGAGTCTAAATTTAGAAATGAGGAAGGAAGCACTGAAGTGCTAAGTGATAGAAAGGGGGTGGCCAAGGGCACTGTGGGAGGCTCAGGCCTCCCCCTGTGTCTTGGGTTTGACAAGGGTCATCTTTTGTGCCGTGGCTTCTGGATCGAGGGTTTCCTTCAGCCTAACTCCTCCTCCTCACTCACTTCCTGCTTTCCCACCTACCCTGTGGCTTCCCAGTACCCAGGGACCTACCTGACCTTTGAAGTGGTGTCCTTGGTACCCTATGACCGGAACCTCATTGATGTCAGCCTGCTGTCCCCAGAGCAGGTGAGTGCCCCTCAGCACAGTCTAGCCTTCAGCCCCTGAACCCCTGCCTGCCTTCTCCTCCACCCTGGATCTCTCTTGCCTCTGCTCCCCCTACCCCAAGACCCTTTGCCCCTTCCCTTCGGCTGGGAGGGTTCACACTGGTGGCACCTGTAGGCACACACTGGGGTATTCCTCTCCTGCTCATCAGAGATCCCTGTGCTTCTAGAAATCCCCAGATCAGCCTGTCCAACCCCAGGTAGTAAATGCTTGGGGAGTCTGAGACTGGGTCTCTGGACTCGGCCATCAATCCCTTTCCTTCTCTGGGCCACAGGTTCCTCTTCTGTAAAATGGGACAATAATGACTACCCTACTCACTCTCATTCCTGGGCCTAAAACCCACTCCCCGGACCCACTCCATGAAAGGCACTATGACATTAAACAGCCACTGTGGCAAACTGCCTCTGAAAAGCCCCAGAGAATGCCTGTCGCTTGATGATGACTGGGAACTTATGGGGAACTATGGGATACCTATGGGTACCTGGCCAAGGTGGGCAGCTGGACTAACATAGCAGGGAACTGGGTGGCACCAAGACTCCACTTTTTGGCAGCTCACCATGAGGAAACCCTTACCCCTCTTACCTTTTGTAGCTACAATACCTGAACCACTACTACCAGACCATCCGAGAGAAGGTGGGCCCCGAGCTACAGAAGCGCCAGCTACTGGAAGAGTTCACGTGGTTGCAGCAACAAACAGAGCCCCTGTCCTCCAGGGCCCCATGCACCACCTCCTTGGCCTCTGTGTTGGCAGTCTCTATCCTTGCCATCCTCGACTGGAATGTTTAGAGACACAGGACTCCCCTGGTACCTTCTCGCTCAGCTCCCCTCACTTTGCACCATCCATGGCCCAAGAGTTTCTGCTTGCCCATTGCTTGGAAACCTTTGCTCTCAGCCTCCTTCTCCAAGACCAAGCCCCAGGGAAGCAGGGCTTCTTGGCCCCAGGCAGCCCGCCCCCACCCCCCACCCCCGCACTAGGCTTGTATACCTCACTCTCTGCTCCTAACCCCCAGCCCCGGGATACGAGAGCCGAGTGGTTTCTTTCCTCTTGTGAGCCCAGTTAAGCCTAAACTATAACCTGGCAGAACCTGTTGCTGTTGCCCTGACAAAAAAAAAACAGACCAATAGAGGGCAATGCCTTACCTCCAAGGACCCCATGACTCTGAGAGAGCTCCACCCTATCACCACCTGATAGATATAACCAGAGCTGTTCCCAGCCACACTGACTCCTGACTCCTTGTCTCCCCATGGCCTTGAGGTTGCCTCTGGCCGCCCCTACATATCCCTGGCCCTGTAATGGCATCCTGGCTGAAGGAACAAGGGCTGCTTCCAGGTTCCCTGCTGTTCCTGTAGAGAGAGGAAGGGAGAGCGGCTGAGCACTCTGGTTGCATACTGCCACTCCAGGATCAGGGTGGCCAGCCAGAAAAAGGGCATACGCCAGCCCCCACATCCAACACATGAGCCCGTTGCTTCTAAACCCTGGGTGGGCTCCATGCCAAATCACAAGATAGGGAGTTAAGCCGTATGAATTTGGCCACAGGGTAGGAGGAAATGCAGGGAGCCCTCTTAAATATGGCCCTACTTGAACTTGGGAACAGCCTGAGCAGTGATGCTGAATCACTATCCCATATTTCACAACACGTGGGAGCCCTTTTAACTTTCCAAAGTGCAGCCGCAGTGACAATGCTATCAAACCCTCCAGCATCATTGGATGACCATTAATCTGTGTGACTAGTGTCTGGTTTCCCCATTTTACAGATAAGAAAACTGAGCTTCAGATGGGGTGGGACCTCCCCAAAGACACACAGTGTTTGGTTAGGATATGATGGGACCAGAATGGGCTGGCAGTCCAGCTCTTTTGCCCTTTGGTACCATGGAGAATCATTTAGCTTGCCTCCCAGCCCCCTCATGGCTCTCTGAGCCCACTTTTGTTGCGGGGGGGGGGGAGTTTTCTCCAGCCAACCCAGCCGTTAGCCACCTGGGCTCACATCCTGTTAGATGCTTAAAACAGCCTGGCAACAAAGATTGCCCCTGAGTTTTGCATTGTGTCTGCTGTGTTGCTGGGGACTGCTGTTACCTGTGGCTTTTGTGGTGGGGGAGGGAGGGGAGGTGATGAGATGGGGGAAGGGAGATGAGGCTCCTAGAAGCTCGGTTGGGGAGCACATGTGCTTGAGAATGTGCCTGTAAGCATGCGTACATGTACGTGTGTGAGTGTTCGTATGCTTGCCATGCCCAGCCAACCACCTCCTGTGCCTTGTGGAGGGCACGGAGGGGAGCCTCACACTGGGGGACATGTCAAATGCAGTCCAGGAAAACTGAGGCCACCACCTTTGCTCAGAAGAACACAGTCAGGAGTTGGAGAGAACCAAGCCTCTAGGGCAGAGTGCTGGGCAAAGGCACCAGGCAGAGGAGTCCCTCAGCCAAGGACCACCAGGACTAGGCTGCCAAGTGTCAGGGTGACCTGTGACAGTTACCACTGATGCTTACATCCAAAGGCCTCAGCTCTGAGCCATCCTCACTGAGAGCCTCTAGCACCCAACAGTGGGCCTCTGTTGGCTGAGTCACTTGCTCCCTCACATGCTCACCCTACAAACATAGCTACTAATAATAAAATTAAAGGCACCACCACCATTGTTGTCATCATCATCGCTACCATCTTCTGAGTGTGTCATATGTACCAGACACTGTGCTTTACATGCATTCTTTTTAAAAATTTTTATTTTATTGTGGTGAGAACACTAAATGTGAGATCTAGCCTCTTAGTGTTTAAGTGCACATTACTGCATTTTTCTCACTTAATCCCCACAACCTATGAAAAGGAACTTTTACTGTTCCCATTTTACAAGAGCAGCTCACAGAGATTAACCAACTCGCTCGAGGTCACTCATCAAGGAAATGAAAAAAGGCAGGATTCAATCCAGTCAGATGACTCTAGAACTCACTCTCAGAAAAGGGCAAGGGGCATGGCTTGCACCATGTTACAAATGAGAAAACTGAGGCTCAACCAGGATCACACTGCTGGAGAGCTAAGACTCAGATCCAACTGATGTTCTCTACACTATCCCGCTTCCCCAGGGCCTTCTTGCCCAACCCTTTATCTTTGGGTTCTGACACTTGCTCCTGGGGTTCTGGTAGGTCATGGGCAGCAAGAGGGCCCTGGGTGCCTGACCCAGACCCACTCACAGGCCTTTCAGCCCAAGGTGGCTCACACGCTCCCCTTTCCTCCCTTCAGGGTAAGACCAAGGGCTCCACCTCATCTCTTCCCCATAACGTAACTGCTGCTTCCAATCCACCATCTTGGGATTGAGAACCCCTGCCCTGGAAGCACGGCTGCAGGGGGAGGAGTGCTCACACACACACACACACACACACACACACACACACACACACACACTCCTCCCTTCCTGGGCCCCAGATGGCCAAAACACTGATCATCCTGCTTCAAGGGCTTCACTCTGGATTGGGCAGGGAAACATCTAGGGCATACACAGCGAGGCTAACATATGCAGGGGCATTTGAGACATCACTATGAACTGAAGATAAATAAATGCCCCCTTGGGCTCTGGTCCTTTGTCTTGATGCTGGAGGATAGGCTTACTAAATCCTTCCTTGCCTGTTGATTGCCACTGTGGAGCAAGCCATGTGGAAAATCCCCTTTTCCTAAGAGTTAGGATTCTAGGGTTCTAGTCCAGGTTGTGTCAGCTATGTGCCCTTGGGCAAGTCCCTTCACCTCTCTGGTCTTCAGTTATCCCTCCTGTAAACAACATGTACCACCTGCCTCGTGAGGTTACAGTGAGAGACCCATAAAATCCGGATGTGACAGCACCCTACAAGACAGGAAGCCACACAGACAAGAAATGATAATGCTATTATTCATTGGGCATGCATGACTTCAACCGTTGCCTTACCTTTGGAGGTAGATAAGGGAAAGGTTTGGGACCCAAATTTTATATATAAATTGTCAAAACTAGGCAGACTTTTTTTTAAAAGAAATTTTATTGGGCAGCTGGCCGAGTGGCGCGTTGGTTAAGAGTTGGCTTGGGACACCAGCTCTGAGCAGCAGGGCCCCAGTTCGGATCCCACATGAGGGCCAGTGACGCTGCACCCTCTACAGCTAAGATGGTGAACGATAGCTCGACATTCAGCTGGGTTGCCATGAGTCGCCGGCGACGGTGTAGGCTGCAGTGGGGCTGCAGTGGGCTGCCGTAAGCTACCGTGAGTGGCTGGCAGCCGGCGTGAGTGGCTGGCAGCCAGCGTGGTCTGCCAAGAGCCGCCATGAGTGACTGTCTAGTGGCCAGTGACCCATCTGCCTCTCCTGGTAAGAGCACAATGATAATACCAACATGGGCCAGTGAAGTGGTGTCCTCCACAACTAGACTGAAGAACAAAAGGACAACAACTTGTCTGTTCCCCTCCCCCAATTCCCCAATAAAATCTTAAAAAAAAATTATTGGGGAACAGTGTGTTGTTCCAGGACCCATCAGCTCCAAGTCAAGTAGTTGTCTTCAATCTAGCTGTCGAGGGCGCAGCTCCTTGGCCCATGAGGGAATTGAACCGGCAACCCTGGCACTATGAGCCACCTAAGCCAAACGGCTGCCCAAAACTAGACAGACTTTTGAGCAAGTATCTAATTCGTGTTTTTCCAACTCTGCTCCCTAGAGCCAAAGCTTCTTCAGAAATGCCACAAGCTGCCATGGAAAGTGTTCAAGCCAAAAGCAGCCCATGTGGGCTTTCCATCAAATTTTATTGGAAGCAGTTGCAAGGCCAGGTTCATAGGTCATCTACCTGTGCAGTCGCACAAGGTCTTGTGTTTAGAAGGGCCTGCTCTTGATTTAATGCTCCGCTGTCACCATCTTGAATTTTTTAATAAGTTTTGAACAAGGGGCCCGACATTTGAATTTTACACCAGGCCCCGCAAATTCTATAGCCAGTCCTGACTAGCAGCTTCGTGATCAAACAGAAAGTGGATTCAATCCCTTCAGTGTATGATGAGGAAACATCAACAGCAGCCCAGAAATAAGAAATGACTTGCCCAAGGTCGCACTGCCCATTGGGGCCAGAGCTAAGACTAAATCCCCAGTGTCCTGATTCAGCTACGTGCTGGCCCCTCCCTCTCTTTCAGTGGGTGCTTCTGTCACTCCCTAACTGCCTCTGATGAACAAACCAGGCTCCAAGGAGAGCTGTGTGAGGTCACGCAGCTGTGACAACTGTGGTGATGATGACATTGAGATATATTTTTTGATGCTTTAAATCTTTTTTGGAATAGGAAAGAGCATGGGTAAGATGATAGATACATACATACATACACAAAGAGTCTAAATGGTTCATTGAAAAAATTATTATTAAGCCAGTCCTCTCCCACGTGCCAGCCAGCTGACTCCAGGTCTTCATGAGCTGGGACCACAGAAGGGGCTGCTTTTCACCCAGCTAAACCATGGCAGCAGTGAATTTTACCAAGTCACTGGTCACTTCCTCAAATCAGTGATTGGGCACTCTTGGTTAAAAAAAAAAGAAATATGAAAGAGTCAATAGCAACTGTTTCCTCCCTATCTAACCCTGCCCTCCAAGGCTGTCTCAGTTGGGAGTGGGAGGCGCTACCCAACCCCGCCCAGCCAGCCCTTGCCCTGAGGCCACCCATCTTCTCACTTCCTTGTTTCTTTGTGAAACAGGAACTGAGCGGTCGTGTAAAATAGGTAGTTGAGAAAGCCTCAGTGGTCCATGGCAAGGCCATGAAGCTGAAAACCTAATTTCCCCCCTAGCAGTCCCACGTAAATAGTTCTAGATGCTCTTGTGTATCACACCTCCTGTGTTCTAGAATAGTTTGGACTGGGGGACCCTGCCCTTGACAAGGTGGAGACACAAGGCAATAGGGTCACAGAGTAGAGATTCAGATGGAGCCCTGATGAGATATATTGTAGAAATGAGTGTCAAGGCAAAAGAAGAAACTCTGAGTGTAAACTGATGTAGTCACCTACCAGGTACCGAGCACTTTCCATGAACAGGACACTAAGCTGAGAGTGCTTTCTCTATACAGGTCATCTGGGTAACTCTGGTTACTCACACACACACACACACACACACACACACACACACACACACACACACACACACCATACCTCCTCCCCAAGCAAGGCTCACGTTATCACTGTTGCTGTCTTCACCAGAGCTCATTGTCCAAGGTTGCTTGCCCAAAGTCATATAGCCAGTAGGTATGGCAATTTAAATCCAGTTGTACCTGACTCCACTTCTGTGAGGTCTTCTCCTGCTCTTCTTTTTCCCTAGAGCCCTAGACAATTATTCCCTAGACTGCTCAGCAACCTTTGTTCTTGTAAACTTGAGACAGAGGCCTAGGCAAAGCAGTCTAGTCCCTCCCAGTCTCCTGCACAAAGGGCCCCCAGTGAGTTGTTTCTGCATATCAAAACCTAGCCTCTTCTGATGGTAACTGCCACAGCTGCCTGCAGGTGTTTTTTGTTTTGTTTTGCTTTGTTTTTAAACCAAGAACTTATCACAAGTTCAGAAATAACTGTGTCTCCCTCCCATCAGACCCTGCTACCAGGGGCTCCCCAGTGTCCCCCGAGTTGCAAGCTCTGTGTGTACTCTCTGTGTGCATGAGGAAGGGACGCTTCCCACCTGGGTCCCTTGCTTGCCTCTCCAAGCAAATGTGCACTTTTGCTTTTCTCGTCCTCCTTGCCTAAGACTACCACCATGAAATCTGCTAATGGGTCAGGCTACCAAGTGAACTTCACCTTGGAAATGCCCATATATTTTCAAGGGACTATGTGGTCTCTGCTTGAACATTTCTGGAGACAGGACAATCATTATTTACCAGCGTTGAGCTGGTACCATGTGAACATTAAAAATGTCTTCCTTGGAATTAATGCAAACCTTTTATTTATCTGTTCCCCACCATTGCTAACAGCCCGGAACACATCTGTCCCCCATACACGACAGCTGTTTGAAGTCAACTTGCTTTCCCAGCCAACCCTCTAGACCAAATACTACAGGCAGGTGAGTACATCAGTTTACACTCAGAGTTTCCTGATTTCCAAGAACTCCACTGTAAGTCATCACCACTTCATCAGCCCTAGCTATCCAGCTGTTCTGAATATGATGTGACTTCCAGACACCCATCCCATCCTCTTCCTTCCCCGCTGGGCCTGCTTCAAGATGGCCCTGTGGCAGCTAGTCTGGCACCTGACCAGTGTAGGGCGCCAATACTCTCACCTCCTCTCTTGTGAACTCTGCATCAGCGGCATTTGAGCCTAGTGGTTAACAGCATGGGCTGTGGACCAATACCAGACCTGTGTTTAAAAATTGGATCCCACCACTTCCTAGTTGTGTCACTGTTTGCTGAACCACTATGATCCTCACCTTCTTCTCTGGAAAATGGGGATAACAATGGTGCCTGCTTCATAGAATTGCTGCAAAGCCCACTGCCTGCCACATAGTGTTATTATTTTCAACTGGATGTGTGTGTGTGTGTGTGAGTGTGTGTGTGTGTGTGTGTGTGTGTGTGTGTGTGTGTGTAAGGACAGGTGAGAATAAGAATCATTTGAGAAGTTTTTCCAAATATAGGTATCCCTCACTATCCAAACTCTTACTCCCCCAAATTAGCACTCTACCCATTTAGAGAATAAGGAATGCTTTCACACATGTCAAAGTCCCTCCGGGCCCAAATATCCCAGCCACGATCTTACATTAATTTCGGAACTCTGGGGGATTCAGGTCGGGGGCTGCTCTATGTGAATGCAGCTTATGATGACCTTTTTGTCTTTGGCAGCCCTGTGTCCACCCTCTGAGGGTTCAGACAGATCTCACTACCAGTGGAACCCCAAACACACACACACACACACACACACACACACACACACTGCAATATTGCTGCTAAATCAAGGCTTTCCTGCCCCACATTTTTACTGGGCATGTCTTTCCAATAATAATCCCAATTTAAACTACAGTTGGCCCTCTGTATCCTTGGATGCTGAACCCTCAGATACTGCGGGCCAACTAAGGGACTTGAGCATCTGCAGATTTTGGTATCTGCGGGGTGGGGAGGCTGGGAACCCATCCACCTCAGATAATAAAGGAAAACTGTTCTTAGCTCAGGGGGTTGTGGTGGGATTAATGTAGTGCTTGGCAAAGAACAAGTGCTGGGCAAATGTAAGCTTGCTGCACACCTAGGATGCAAGCTCCCAGGTGCAAGTGACCTTGACAACTATTGGGTTGTCGGAAAAGTCATGAGGTATTTTTTTCTGTCTTTTGTTGCAAAACTGTGTCATGATTTTTCCGACAACCCAATATTTATTGTGCATCTCCTCAAGGTGCCTAGCACAGGCTCTGCCCAGAGTTAGCTCCCAGGTCCTGTATGCCAGCTCATTATGAAGCTTGAGGTGGCTTTGTTCAGTGAACTACTGACCTGCATCACTTCTTTAGCTGAGGGCTCTGTGTACCTGCAATATAACCTATAAAATGCAAATTTTACCTAGAGGGGAAACCTATTAAAAACATGTTTAGGACCCATTAGCCAGCTGGGTTCTGACCTAATGGGACTTGGCCCAGGGCAATCTGCTGGGAGAGAAAAGTTGGGGGAAGGCAAGTCGGGATGAGGGAGCCCTGGATCCCCAGTATGAGGTCTGCTGACCAGAGGAAACAGATCTGAAAAGGAGACAGAAGGGTAGGGCTGAAAACATTCACTCAAACACACACACACACACACACACACACACACACACACAGAGCCTTTTCTCAGCAGTCTGGTTAGGTGGCTGCCTTTGAAGGCTCTGCGGTTAGAGTGTGAGCTCTGCTCTATGCCTGGGCTGAGCAAACAGGAAGCGGTGCACATCGTGTGCGCAGGCCGGCGACACGGAAGGTTCTGTGAGCGGCTCCCTCCCTGCCCCAGCTGCCCCAAGGCCTTGCAGCCTTGTCCCTCACCCAGCACCCTGAGAGGCTGTCTCCCTGGCCCTGATCACACCGCTGGGCACCAAAGGTCCGCTAGGTCCTCCACACCAGCTGCCAGGCTCCTTCCCACGCTGCGCAGCCTCAACAGTTTCCACGCTCAGTTTCCACGTTGCGTGTGAGAGACTTTCAGGCTGGAAATGCGCAGGCCCAGGTCCGCGGGGAAGCAAGCTGAGGGTGCTCAGCTGGGAGCGCCGATCTTTTGAAGGTTCTGCCAGGCAGGCTGCGCCAATGAAGTGTGGTTTCAGCTTGAGGAAGAAGGACCTTGTCTTTCCTGAACTTACTGACGGATGAATGGTCGGAGGGCATGGAGCAGGCTGAGGGGTAGGAGGGAGAAAGTCACGAGAAGATCTTGGGAACAGGGGAAGTCCAGCCCAGGATTTCTCAAGTACCACAGTGGAGAGCTTTAAAAAGATGTGTACCTTTTACTCCAGGATTCCCCTTCTGGAAATCTATCCTAAGGGGAAAATCGTGGGTGTGAATATTTACCTTAAGGATGTGCAATAAAGATTTTTAAAAATTAGGCCAACCTAAGTACATGGGTAGGGGCTTGGTGAAATAATCGTGGTACAGTCATATAATGGGCTGCTCGGCAGCCATTAAAATCACACAGTTGAAGACTATTTCAAAGCATGAGAAAAACCTTAATGATCCTGTGTTCAGTGTGACAAGCAGTACCAACACTGTTTGGGAAGTATGATTTGTTTAATTTCTAAAAAGATTACTATTAACCAATGTCACCCTAATACATTTAATTTAAAAAATAATAAAAATAGATTAAAACAGCTTTCTGTAGGTATAATTGACCTACAATAAATTGCACGTTTTAAAGTGTACAACTTCAGTTTTGACATGTATATACCCATGAAACGATCACCACAATCAAGATAGTGAACATATTCATCACCCCCAAAAGGGTCTTTGTACCCCTACTGATCTCTCCTTCCTCTCCCCATTCCGCCAACCACTGACCTGCTTTCTGTGCAATATGATATTTTTTTAAATAGCACACACACATAGCTAAATGTTCAAAAACAGAAAAAGATATCAACCCAAACATTATGGAAGATAATTATGGAGAACATTTTAATTTTCTTTTCTATGTGTATCTATTAGCTAAATTGTATATGATGAATATGAATTGCTTTTTGATAACAATAAGTCATTAGAGTTATCAAAATATCTGCCACAGAGAATCCATTCTAAACTTAGCACATAAGCATCAAGATATGCCTGTTGAATGGGACATTTCCTGGTGGTGTGGAGTTGCTTGCAAATGCATTTGTTTTGGGTGTGATTACTATGGTGGTGATAAATATATGGGTGATGGCCAAGGGGCTTTGACTCTAAGGTGTGACTGTTCTGGTGAGGACGACTGTAGGTGTGGTGGTGGCAAAGGGGATGATAGTGTAGGGTGATGACTGAGAGGTGATGGTTATAAGGGTGAGGGCATCCGTGGGGGTGACTGGCTCTAGTAATAGTGTTTATAAGGGTAATGGCTGCAAGGATGATGGCTGTGCAGTTCATAGAAGCAGTAGTGAGGCAGCCCGAGGAAGATGGCTGAGGGGTGTTGACTGTAGGGTAGTTGCTCTATCAATGATGGCTGTATTAATGCTGATGGCAGTGAGGATGATTGCAGGGGTGATTGTTGTAGGGGTGATGGCTGTAGGGATGATGGTTGTAGGGGTAATAGAACTGTGAGGGTACTGGTTGTAATGTCCATAAGAGTGACAGCTGTGAGGAGGATGATTGTAAGACTGAGAGCAGCAATGATGATGACTGGAGGGGTGATGGTTATAAGGTGATGGCTATAAATAGGAGTGATGGTTGTAGGGGTGATAGTAGAGGTAATGATGGCAGTGATGACTTTGGTGATGCAAAGTGACCAGGAACATTGATTGGCCCAATAGGCAGAGAGATGGTTCAGATTCTGGTCAGTGAGATAAGAGGCCAGAGAAAGCCATATAATGTCAAGTTGATTGGCTGCCTCTGGAGAGACAGAGCAGAAGAACGGGTGATGGTTGACATGAGATGGCAGGATAGGGACTTTTCTCTGCTTGTTCAACCCAAGAGCCGTCTGCATCAGAATCTCTGGAGACTGAAGCTGGGACTTCCTTCCTCCCTAGGGGCCGACAGGGGCTGCGATTGCTGTAACAACAGGTCACGTGGCAGGGCTTCCTGTATGCTGCTGCCGCCGGGTGTCCATGGCCCTCACCCCTAAGCTGCCAGTACAGCAGTCAGAGTGGCAGCCAGAGGCTCGGTCCATGCCGTGCCCCCTGGACAGCGCAGACGAGGCTGAGCAAGAGGCCTCTGAATCGCAACACCTAGGAGAGTAAGGACGGATTATCACCAAGGCGGAGGACAATGTTGCGCCGCAAGCCCTCCAACGCCAGCGAGAAGGAGCCCACTCAGAAGAAAAAGGTGAGGACCAACTCTGGGAACTCACTTCTTCATTCCTTCTGTTCATCCAACCCATCCCCTCTAGGACTCGTAGAAGTGGGAAGAGCCAAAGGCCACATGTTGAGTCTGTAGGCGAGGGCCGCTCTTCCAAGGGCAATGGGACAGGGGCCCGAAGGTTACTAAAATAACAGAAGTACAGAGGATACTTCCAAAATTCTAGAGAAATGGAGTTCTAGAATAGACTCTTAAAATTCTAGAGTTATAGATCTCAACCCTACAATGTTGGGATAGAGACCTAAAATTAGGGGCTAGAATCTTGGATCAGAATTTGAGAATCAGAAAATACAATTCTCAAGTTGAATCTTAAGACTGTACTTCATTGTATCTTCCCTACACTTGTCCGGCCACCACTTCTGCCTGAGCATGGCCTCTCAAGACCCATCTCACTCAGAGGGTCCTGCTGGGCCACCCCACTTGGAGCCGTGAGGCTCCCAGGACCCCTGCCCTTTGACTGTAGCCGGGACTCTGGTCCCATGGTTCAGCTCTGTTGTAGCTCCCCTGGCACACTGGCAATGGGGCCAACCTAGAGATGGGGTGGAGGGACTCCAAACCTGCCGTGGGATGCAGGGAGCATACAGGTTCTTCCCAGGTGGGGAGAAATTATTTGTGAAGAATGAAAAATGAAGCTGGTGAGACAGGGAGTAGCAGTGAGGGCTAAGAAGGAAAAATTTAGTGGGGACATTTTAAAGGCCAGGAAGCAAAGTAGCTGCCATGGAAAGCAGAGGTATTCATCTTCCTGGAGCAGAGGCTGGGTTAGGAGATTCCTTGTAGGTTCTGCCAGATCTAGATGTCTTTACTTGGATTTGGGGATTTCTAGACTTAGTTATTTTATTTCATTATAGAATTCTCCCAGGCAATCAGAAAGTACATCCCACACATCCAGCGGGATCCTAGGAACATCCCAAAGCAAGCCTGAACCAGGTCCAAAAGGATCAGGCCTAAACCCAGGCCAAGATCTGGGGCCTGCAGGCGCTCACTGTTTCCCCTAGAGCTCAGCCCAGGTGCCTTATGGGGGAATCCCCTTGTCAGGGGAGCAACTCCCAGGCCGAGGCCGAGACAGCTGAGAGGCTGAGCTTCAGGTCACTGGTGTGTGCATCTTGCCCCATCTCAGGTCCTGGAGTGGCTGCCACTTCCAGCCGTCCTCTCCTCACCCCAGCTGCTTCTCTAAGGTTGCAGTGGAGGTGGGCGGGGGTGGGGTAGCGATTGTTGAGTTCTCACACAGGCTCTGTCACCTTCCTGTCCAAGCCCTGCGTGGCACTGGGCTGAGCAGATTTGTCATTGGCTGTCTCTCCTTGGTGAGCGATCTGCTTCCCCTTGTTCTCTGCCTAACGGGGGTGGGAAGCCAAGACTGCTATAGACACTGCTGGGCCCCAAACCACAGGGGAGCTGAGCTGGAGGAAAGAGTCTGAGAAAGAGCTGACACTTTGACACTGGGACCCTGGTGCCACCTCAGGCAGAAGTGCCAGGAGCACACAGAAGGCAGAAGTTCCCATCTTCTTTCTTCACCTCCATTGTTCCAGTTCTGTGCCTGCTGGCTGTAATTTCCCCCAGGCCTCTTTCAGGGGAAGCAAGGCCCCTGTGGTCCTCTAAGGGAGAGTGGTCCAGGCAAAGCTCGCCCCTCCCTGCCAGAGCCCGGGCCAGCCTCCAGAGTCACTCTCCAACCCTCAAACCTTGGAAGTTCCCTTAGAAAAGACAAGGTATGCTTCCAGAAGGTGGAGACAGCATCTTCCCTGGGCCTGGAGGCAGCGAGCAGCCAGCTCCAGCACTGTGACGTTGGGCAAGTCCCTTCCCCTCGGAGGGTAAGGTGACGTGGTGGAGGGAAACAAGGGCTCTCTCTTCTGCCCCTGCTCCTCTTCCCAGGCCTGTCAGATAGAGAAAGTGTTGTGCAGGGGGCAGGAAAGCAGAGTTGGAATACTACCAAGATCGAGCCGTAGGACCTTGGACAGTTCATTGACCTTTGGGCCTCAGTTTCCTCATCTTGGAAAATGGGGATAGCTTCTGATCTGTCCACTCAGGAGGCTGAGGTCGCATGGATCACCTGGAACAATCAATGCAAGAGTTCTTCTGTGAAGTTCCTGCAGGTGCACACAAGGAGGTGCATGCTGTAGGCATAAGTGGTGGTGAGGAGCACACGGCAAAGAAGAACAAGCTCTGGCTCCCAGCCCTGAAGTAGAGAAAACAAGACTTAATAGCACTAAGAGCCAGAACTGAGTGAGAGCTCGTCAGGTGCCAGAGGCTGCGCTGTGCGCCCCACCCATCCCTTAGCTGCTTGGCTCCTCACGACAACCTTGCAAGTTAGGGACAGATGTTGCCTTTATCCCTATTTTATGTCCAAGGCTCAGAGACTGACCCAAAGTCACACAGCTAGTAAACTGAATTGCAGAAAGCCAAAACAAGAATGGTCAGTCTCCAGAGTATTAAACATTTCTCCCTCTACTCTCTTGTCCCCTTCTGATCTCAAAAGCACTAGAAAAATCTGATGAGCGTGAACGACTCAACATATCAGTAGGAGAGCTCTGCAGGAGAGCTCAGATGGCTGTGGAGTGAGGGACCTTCCAGGCAGCAAAGCAGAGGCAGGAGCAAGCCCTCCAGGATGGTGGGGTCAGGATGTGGCACCTATTTGTCATCATGGAGGATTGGAGAGGCCCCTGAGTGGAGGGTGAGCACATACCCCTTGGCTGCCCTTTGCAGATTTTTGCCTCAATCAGGGTCTCTCTCTGTACTCCCTTTGATCTGTTAGGGTGTAGGAAGTGGATAGGGGTTTGTCCTGGGACCTGCCTCCCCTAAGGATTGTCCTACCCCACCACACCCCTACTTTCCCACCACACACCAAACCTTCTTCCCCTGGGGAAATGGGGAGGACTCGGAGCTCCCATTCAAGTGCTCAACTGTTCTCTCCTTCCTGTCACTCCCTGCTCCTCTCTCCCCCAATCCCAGCACGTTACATCCCCTGGGCTCCCTTCCTTCAGCATGCCTCTAGCAGAACACCCCCACCAGCATGTGCTTTGTTTTTCCCACAGGCTAACGCCCAAGTTCCTTGGCATTGCTGGCAAAGGACTACTGTGGCCTTTTCTGCTCTACCTCCCACCACATGCACAGGCATACCCACCGTTCCATCACCACACTGGAATATCCCTAACTAACTGTCATTTAAACCCTTCCCAGCAACTCCTGGAGAAATCCTGGCTCCCCTGCATGGCCCAGCTCAAATTCACCTCCTACTCTATGAAGCACACCTGAATCCTTCCTCCGCCATGCTCCAACCTGCTCTCCCGGTAGCTCCCTGCAAATGCCACGAGAAGTCACCATTGCACTCAGTCCATTTCTGTAGTGGGGTGACTTTGTAAGCTCTGAGCACAGCAACGTGCCCAGGCTTCAAGAGTCACAAACATGAGTTTGAACCTCTGCTCTTTCTGCTGCCAGGCGCGTAACTGCCTAAGGCATTTCATTTCTCTGAGTCGCAGTCTCCTGAGCTGGGAACTAGGGCCATATGACAGGGCTGTGGTAAGGCTGTAGTAAGCTGGCACACAGGAAACACTTGACAGGATGCCAGGCACAAAGGAGGTATTTAACCCCTGGTTACTGGATTCCCATGCACGCACGGGCCAGTGCCTAGAGCCCAGAGAGAGCTAGGTATATGACTGGTAAAGAAATGAGTTAAGAGTAGTTGTGGTGGAGACACCTGGGGAAAGCCAAGCTTGCTTAGGAAACAAGGAAAGATGTTATCAATGGGGCACTGTGAGGCTCTGAGGGGGCTATTAGGGGAGGCTTCCTGCAGGGGACAGTGCCTTTAAAACTGGATTTGGAAAACCTGCTTATCGAAATATAATATTCGTACAAAGAAGTGCATAAATCATAAGTGTCCCACTTAATGAATTTCTATAATGAACACCCCCATGCAAACAGCAGCCAGATCAAGAAATAGAGCACTTTCAACATTCTAGAAGCTTCCTTCATGCTCCTGCAGTCCATACACACCCCCTTTCCCCAAGGGTAACCACTGACTTGACTTCCAATAGCACAGATTAGTTTTGCCAGATTTTGAACTTTCTATATGAAGAACCATATAGTATACTCTGGTGGCTGGCCCCTTCTGCTTAACAGTGTATCTGTGAGAGTCATCCATATTGTTGGGAATAGCTGTACTAGGCTCATCGTGATGTCCTAGCCTCTTGTATGTCTCTGTCACAATTCATATATCCGTTCTACAGTTGATGGGCATGCAGGTTATTTCCAGTTAAATTGGGTTTTGAAGGAGGGGAGAAACTATGGTTGCCATAGAGAAGGGGAGAGTGGGGAATGCCCTGGGTAAGAGCCTGGAAGTGGGTCATAGGAAAAGCTAAGGCATACATGGACATTTGGACATTCACTGAGGAGTGGCTGTGTCAGGCACTCACTCCCATCCTCACAAAAACCCAGTGAGGTAGGTGTTCTTGCCTTCATTTTACCCATGTAACTAACCCAGCTTTACACAGCTGGTCAATGGCAGAACCAAGATTTGAACCTTTGCTAGTTGACACCAAATGAAGAGATTGAGGTTCAGGGAGGTTAACTTGCCAAAGGTCACACATCCCAGAATTGAACCTAGCAACATCTGATGCCAGAAAATTCGTTCTTTCCAAGAGGCTCACATGTTCCCCTTAAACATGAAAAATGATGGTTGGTTCTACCACCCCCCTGGGCAGGACCCCAGGGAGGCCTCACCCCAAACAGAGACCAGGCAGATCATTCAAAGGGACTCAAAGATTTCAACTCATACCTGGGTGGGGACATCAGAAGGTATTCGGGACATTTGGGGCTGCCCCTGAAGTTGGCGGTGTGCTGGGCAAAAGACCACTCTGGCCAGCCCTGACCCTGGTCTCCCAAAGAACTTGTGTAGCCCCTTCCATGTGAGCCCAACTCCCAGCACCGCCCCCACAGCCCTTTTGGATGGTTTCCTCCATCTTGGGCTAAAGCTGGGACAGAGGGTCCATGACACAAGGTCCCAGGAGCCAAAAGTCCCCCTTCCAGCCCCCAGACTGAAGATTAATGACAGGAAAAGGAAAGAACTGTGATTAGAGGGCAGCCTGGCAGTGCGTTTACTCTGCCCCAACAAAGCTAACTTCCGGCCCCCTGCTTGCTTTCCAGGCTTGTCAGTCCCTCAGGCTTTAGAGGCGACTCTCAGCCTCCTGGTCTTAAGGTGGTGGAGAGAAGGCTCCATGGGCATATAAATAGCAGGCTAGCCTGGTGCCCACCCTGTCTCTGTTCCCTCTTTTCCAGGCAGTAAGAGAAGGAAGTTATCCAGGCAGCTGCATCCTAGTCATACAAGAGGAGGAAATAAATGGAAAGTGGAGGAGAGGAGAAAAAAAAGGGGAGAAAAAGAGGAAAGAATAGTAGGTGGGGAAAACCAAGGAAGAAGGACAGAGGGAATGCATGGGAACCAGAGCCATCACCCCATGCTTTCCCCTCCCCACTCGTGCCCCCCTTTCCCAGCTCGCCAACATAGCACAGAAGAGGCTTTCTGATGGAGGCTACAGGTGCCTCACCAGGAGGCCCTTGTGGTGGTGGTGTCAGTTTGGCCTGACTCCTGACCTGGTTTCTGGTCAGCTAGCTTGCTGCAACCTCTAGGCAGGTGCAGTCCCTGACCCTGATTGCTGATGTGCCTTTGGTCAAGACTAGTCAAGAGAATAAAAGTGCTCCATTGCAGTCCCCAGGTTCTGGGGCCAATGGTGTCTGTGTTGGGGGGCATGTGATATTGCCCCTGCTCTGAGAGGTTGGCATTGGACCCTGCTTTCGTAGGAAAGAGGATGTGAAACTTCCAGCTTTGTGTGGGTTGAGGCTCAGTTCCTCAAGCCCTTATCTCCTCCTGTGTCTGCAGTCTATCCCGCTCTATCTGTCTGGTCATCTGTGAACCCTGGTTCCTGTGTGTATCTGTGGACCTGACTGTTGATCTTGACTCAGGCTCAGTCTCCACTCCCTCTGTCTAAAACCTGCCCTCTTACCTGCCTGGCCCTGCTTTCTGCTGCTGTCTTGGCATGCGCATGCCTGTCCAGTTAACAGAGCTCATTTCCCGAAAACAAGTCTCATTGGTGCAAACAATAGGGCAGGCCTAAAATTCCGAACACTGGCACACAAAATCCGTAGCCAACTCATCACACGAGTGGCTAAGGTTAAAAGCTGAGATGAAGATAGAAAATGGCAGCTTTCTGTTACTGAATGACCACCCATCATTTCTATCTCCAATCTGTGGGCACTTTCTCTGACTGCCACTACTGTGGTTTTCCAGAAAGCCTAGTGCCAGGTCTTATGACTCCTGGGGGGATGGTTTTGCTCTTCTCCAGACACATATTCACCAGGCTGGGGGCCCTAATGTGTTTACCACTATTACGGTGATGGGAGACCATGCTTGGAGCAGGCCCAGACCATGGAGGCCGGGCTGTGGGGTTTGGGAGGACTTGCTCTGTTACATAAAAGCGATGCTATTGTTTGTGTGGAGGTACGCCTGTAGGAGGAGATATGAGGTTGAACAACTAAGTTCGTGAACTCATTGTAGAAACAGTGCTACATACCTCATTGCTGAATATCACTACGATCACCTTCAAAGTTCTCCCCTTGGGAAGCTATGCACTGATGCCAGCACCTAGTCCACCCTTCAAGGCAATTTTGGAACTGTTTTTCTGGAGTGGCCATCAGAGCTGTCGTCATATTACTGTTGATATTCTGAATAACATCAAAATGTCTCCCTTTCAATATTTCCTTTATCTTCAGGTAAAGAAAGAAGTCATTGGGGGCCAGATCAGGTGAGCAGGGAGGGTGTTCCAATACAGTGATTTGTTTACTGGCTAAAAACTTCCTCACAGACAGTGCCATGTGAGCTTGTGCATTGTCATGATGCAAGTGCCATGAATTGGTGAAAAGTTCAGGTCGTTTTCATCTAACTTTTTCAAACAGCCTTTTCAGCACTTCCAAATAGTAAACTTGGTTAACTATTTGTCTAGTTGGTACAAATTCATAATGAATAATCCCCCTGATATAAAAAAAAGTTAACAACATCGTTGCAACAAGTACACGAACTTAATTGTCAGTCCTTGTGTATGATTCCTCTGACTAGTTTAGTCTTTCATTCCAGGGTTCTGGGGCCCAAACTTTAAGTACTGATGGAAATGTGGGCTTAGTCTGAGGCCTAACAGAGGTCGGAGGCTCCTGAAGTCAGGAGCTTGCTCTCGGGCCAGCATTAGGGGCCATTCTCTGCTGAAAACAGGATGAAGCCATGAAACCCCAAGGACATCTTGGCGCTTCACCTCATTAGCCCTGGGACCTCAGGGCTCTGCCCAGGAACAGCTCCTTACTCAACCAATCATTTTAGTACCACTGATTGCAACATCTCTGCTTCTTCCAGCTCTCACTTCAGCGCTCCAGCAGTTTCAAGGATTTTGCCAAATCCAAACCCAGCTCCCCAGTGGTGAGCGAGAAGGAATTTAATCTGGATGATAATGTAAGTTTCCTAGGCTCCTTGGGGGAGTCTGGCTTGGAGGGAGGGAAGGGGAAAGAGGAGTTTTAGGATTGGTGGGGCAAAGTCTGCTTAAATACAGAAGGTCCACCTCTCCTACCCACCAAAATCCTGGGCCCCCAGAACTTACCTGCATTATTTCCAGTTACAAATGAATAAGACTGTGGACAGAACTGGTGCTAAGAGAGAAGGGGACGGGAGCTTCTCAGTCCCACCCCCTTCATCCTCTGCCAGGACCTGAAGGCCTCCTGCTGCCACTAAGTCCTGGACCCAGGCAGAGTCAGCAAGGTCCCTGGATTTCCTTGTTTGTTATCATAGATTCCAGAAGATGACTCAGGTGTTCCTGCCCCAGAAGATGCTGGGAAGAGTGGCAAAAAGCTGGGGAAGAAGTGGAGGGCTGTGATTTCCCGAACCATGAACAGGAAGATGGGCAAGATGATGGTGAAGGCCCTGTCAGAGGAGATGGTGAGACTGGGGATTCGGGGAAGGGGGTGGGGAGAGGTAGGCCAGGCATCGCTCTGTCAGGCCATGAGTATGGCCACCTTGATAGCCGCTGCCCAGGCACCATGCCTGAAGGGCCAATTCAATACAATAAGGAAGTTCACATGGGAGGGGAGTTCACTCAGCCACAGACATGACAGCAAGACACCATGGTCCTGAGGGACCGGGGGGGGGGTCTGAAAAGGGATGAAAATTGCGGTACCAGAAGCTTCTTGAGAAGGCAAGCCTGAGGAGAGTGTGCAGCTGAAAAGGAGATCAGATAGCCTGAGGCAAATCCATCCACCTCAAAGTTTTCCTTGGAACTAGCTCCCGGGATTGGGAAGGCTTGATTTGAAGAGGGCCCCATGAGAGAAAATTAGAGAAGGATGGCTTTGGCCCAAGGAGGGATGACCGGACAAACAGGTATGGGACAGGCACAGCCAAATAGCTGAAGTAACACAATCTGGTGAGCTCGTGGTTCCTACAGGAGGCTCCAAGGCAATGGTATGCTAGAGTCAGCTAGTACAGGCTCATACCAGCTCGGGACAGCACTTGGTCCCATTATGAGGAATTCTGTGAGGCAGTTGTGAAATACAACGTTATTGAAAATTAAATGATATAAACTTAGAATTAAATACATTATATTAAAAATAAAAAGAATACAGTCAATCCTCAAAACTCATCATTTCGTAATTCTTGGGCTGCCTTCCATTATTCTGTACACCCTTGAGGTTATTTGAATCTATAACCTCTGTGTGGAGGAAATAGCCTATGACGGTGTGCTGCTTGGTCACAGTGGTAGAATGACATTGGTCATGGTGGGAAGTATTTACAACACAGGAATTGGTGAGTGCGCCACATCAGGGTTTTTATTCCCAGAGAGCCAGTTGTGAAAGAGTTACCTCTGCACTGAGGTGTGGTGAGGTGGAGGAGCTCCGGAGACAGGCTGACTTAGATGGGGGCTCGTGCATGGCCTTGGGTATGTTCCTCCATTACTTCTCATCTGGAAACTTGGAACGATCAAATATTTATCCTCAAGTGAAGGTTGAGTGAAATGACAAGCGTTCCTGTCACATGGGAGCACAGTCAAAAGTAGTAACTCTCCAGCACTATTGTCTGTTTGACTGTATCTCAGCAACAGCTGGAGTCCAAGCTCTGCACATACCTTGGCACTCTAAGCTGACAAAGCACATTCACACAGCACCCCAACTGAGCCTCATTCTGTGAGGTGGGCAGGGCAAGGACTGTCATTCCCACCTTACAGAAGAGAAAACGAGGGCTCTAAGAGTACCATGCAGCCCTTACGTGGCAGAGCTGGGGCTGGAGCCAGGCCCCTAGTCCTCCGCCAAGCCCAGGCCACTTCCTCTGCACCCGGGGCTGCCACATGTGTGCCTCCGTCGAGGCTTCTCAGAGCTTCCTGCCTCCCCTCCCCTGCAGACAGACACTCTGGAGGAGGGCTCACCCTCCCCGACATCTCCAGACTGCAACCTGGACAGCCCCGGCCCTGAGAAGATGGTGCTGGCCTTTCCAGAGCAGGAGGAGCGTGAGCTCCTGACACTCAGCCGCCAGGCGTCCACAGGTGAGTAGGGGAGGGGAGGGAACACCTGCTGAGTCTGAAGAAAAGGACTGCTTTAGGGGCCAGGCAGGTTGCTGTCTTGGGGGCAAGGGGCTAAGAGAAATGAACCTTTACGGTGTCCCTGCTGGGAACTTTCCCAGCCCTCTTCACATTAAATCTTCACGATTTTGGGTCCAGAACTATTATTATTCTCACTTCATTGACGTGAAATCTGAGGCTCAGGGAGGTTAAGTGACTTGCCCAAGGTGACCCATTCTTGAACACAGGTCTGCCTTAGAGGAGCTTCCACTTGCTGTTCCCAGGCCCTGAAAGGGCATTGCCCTCTTGGACCAGCCCACCTCCATCCTTCTAAGGGGAGCTAAAGGCTACAGCTGCCTGGGCCTCGGACATTCTGAGCTTGGGTGGGGGTCATAGGTCTCCAGCTGTGAAGACTCAGCCTCTTGGACCACAGACTTTGGTTTTCTGGGCTCAGGGTACCACTTGGCACCTTCTAATTGTCCCCAGGGCTGGACAAGAGGTTTTGGCAACCCTGCCTAGAGGAAGGCCTTCAGCCGCTGGGCTGCAGACTTGCAGAGGCACTGTCCTTCTCACCCTTCAGGCTAGTTCCAAGTTCCCTATTCTTTCTCTCTTTCTCCAAACAGCTCCTTGTCCTCCGACTGAAAATCATTTAAAACACCCCTCATCCCACCCTCCCCAGAGAGAAATAGCTCATCTGAGTTTCCAGGTGACATTGTTACTAGACACTGAGTCTTAGTAAGTAGAGAAAGTAAAATATGAATGCGGTGTGGCTTCTTGGGTAGGAGGAGCACTGGAGTGGAAGTCAGAAGACCTGGAGTGTATTGTAGTAGACGCAGTGCTGCCAATTACAAGATGAGAGGACTTGGGCAGGTCACTTGGCCTGTCCCGCCTCAGTCTTCTTCTGTCCATTGGCACAGTTGGTCTCTAGAAGCCCTCCCAATTTGCCCATCTTTGCTGTATAAGCTGTTTCTCCCTCGGTGGTCAACTGTTCTCATGTTTGAAGCTCCGGAGGTGAAGCTGTGCTCCAGCAGTGTGGTCCAGGGGACAGGTCAGAATCCCTGCCACCGCGTGAGACTGGCCAGCACCCAGCTTTCTTCCCCAGCATGTAGCCCTGGGATTTATAGACAGACGGCCTGGAAGGCACCAGCTGGACATAACCCCAGCTGTCCTAGGACAAAGGTGACCTTCCTCCCTGCGCAATCTTTTGCAGGCAGTGAGCTCTGCAGCCCCACCCAAGGCTCTGGCAGCTTCAGGGAGGAACCACCAGCCCCCCAGTACACAGGGCCCTTTTGTGGCCGGGCCCGAGTCCACACCGACTTCACTCCCAGCCCCTATGACCACGACTCGCTGAAACTGCAGGTAAGATTGGCATCCGGGCTCCCACTTGAGCCTGGCAGGCTACACCCATAAATGAGGCTGGACTCAGCCAGGGTAGAACAGTGTAAGCAGAGGCTGCTGGACCACCCCTCGTCTCTCTCCTGATCTGCTCTGCTCTCCTCTCCTCCCACAGAAAGGAGATATGATTCAGATAATTGAAAAGCCACCTGTGGGCACATGGTTGGGCCTGCTCAATGGCAGGCTGGGGTCTTTCAAGTTCATCTACGTGGATGTGCTGCCTGAGGAGGCTGTGGGGCCTGCCCGCCCCAGCCGCCGACAGAGCAAGGGCAAGAGGCCCAAGCCCAAGACTCTGCATGAGCTGTTGGAACGCATCGGCTTGGAGGTTTGAGCTTGGGCTTGCACTAGCATCTAGAATCAAGGGAGGCACCCTTGCCCCAGGGATGGGACACTGCATGTCATCTATGCATGTCATCTATGTGGGGGTGGGGAAGGAAGGATCCCAGGCAGGGGTGGCTTATAAGCGGCCACACTGGTAGTCTGCCTCTGCCCACAGGAGCACACATCCACTCTGCTTCTCAATGGCTACCAGACACTGGAGGACTTCAAAGAGCTGCGGGAAACACACCTCAACGAGCTGAACATCACAGACCCTCAGCACCGGGCCAAGCTGCTCACAGCCGCCGAGTTACTGCTGGATTATGACAGTGAGTGGGTATAGGAGCTGGGTGGGGGTGTCCACTGGCAGTCAAGGGAAGGGAGGCCTCTGCTCGAGGGCCCTGTGCAGTGGGAAGACGCTTTCCACTCTTGAATTCCAGTCTCAGGCAAAGTTTGTAGGGAGAAGGGATGTAAGGGATGATTGTGCCCCATTCCCTTTGGGATCTAAGGGGAGACTTAAGGCCAGAGAAGGTAAGGCATGGACTTGAGGCCTCAAAGCAGGGTAATGACACAGCCAGGATTCCGGGGCAGATTTCTTGGCTCCTGGCTTACTGCTGAAGAAGTTTGAACTCCTGGGCCTGAAAACCACACAAGAAAGGCAGAGGTAGTGGTGGATGCCCAGAGGGAGAGACTGCCTACAGTGTCCCTACCCCCAGGGTCCCTATCCCCACAGAGCTCCCTGGGGCTTCTGATCCCCTCCCTGCTATGGCCCAAGACCCCATATTCTGTCTCCCACCCTTACCCTTAGCAGCCGGCAGCGAGGAGGCAGAAGAGGGTGCCGAGAGCAGCCAGGAGCCAGTTGCGCACACCTCGTCGGACCTCAAGGGTGACATTCCACGTGACTCGGGCTGCTTCGAGGGCTCAGAGAGCGGGCGCGATGAGGCGGAGCTGGCAGGTGCTGAGGAGCAGCTACAGAGCCTCTCTCTGGCTGGGGAACCTTAAGTGGAGGTGGCAGCGGGCCGAGGCTAGGCCTGAGCACCACAGGCCATGGGGATGGGCCTGGCCTCCCACAGTGGCCCGCACTGGAGGACTGGCGCTGAGCCAGACTCTGCTCCACCCCCCAGAGCACGTAGAGGCCACAGAGGCTGGCCAGGGCCCTACAGGCTTGGCTAGAGTGGATGAGGAGCCACTGAGGGCACATCTCACCTGACTGCCCCCTCCCTCCACCAGCTACTGACAGCACAACCCTCTCTGGCCACTGCCACAGCAAGTGGGGCACAGAGGAGCCTCCACACCCATGTCTGCACCACCAATGCCTCCAAATTCTCCTCGACACCACAGCACCTTCCCCTGTGGTACTGCTCCTGAAAAGGGTGCCGAGTCAGTGTTTCAGCTCAGTCTCAGGACTCTAGGGAAGCTGGCCATTTAAAAGGAATCTAATAGATCCCATGTAAATTCAGGTTGCCCTCACTAGGTTTGAAGAAAGCCACATGTACCTTTCCTGCTTAACTTCTTAACTTTATCAGAGGTTTAGCCACTAAAGCACTATGTAACTTGAACCAAGTGCCTTCCCCAATCTGGGTCTAGGACTGGCTGAGAGGTTTGAAGAAAGCCACATGTACCTTTCCTGCTTAACTTCTTAACTTTATCAGAGGTTTAGCCACTAAAGCACTATATAACTTGAACCAAGTGCCTTCCCCAATCTGGGTCTAGGACTGGCTGGGATTAGAATGCCTTGCCGGGGGGCCGGCCGAGTGGCGCAATGGTTAAGAGCTGGCTTAGGACATCAGAGGGCCCCGGTTCGGATCCCACATATGAGGGCCAGTGACACTGCCCTCCACAGCTAAGATGCTGAACAACAGCTCAACCTGGAGCTGGGCTGCCGGGAGTCGCCTGCAATGGCATAAGCTGCAGCCCCTGCTGCAGTGGGTTGCCATGGGCTACTGTGTGTGGCCAGCAGCCAGCGTGAGCAGCCAGCAGCCGCAGTGAGCGGCCGTCCAGAAGCCGGCGACTGATGTGCCTTGCCCGGGAAGAGCGCAATGATGGTGCCAACTTGGGCCAGTGAAGCAACGTCCTCCACAACTAGACTGAAGAACAAAACGACAGCAACTTGTCTGTTCCCCTTCCCCCAAGTCCCCAGCGCTGTTCCCATCCCCCCAATTCCCCAATTAAAAAAATCTTTAAAAAAAAGAATGCCTTGCCAACTCTGATATTCTGTGACATTAAATGTCTGCTCTCCTGTTACCTGTGGCCCAAGACACCAGTGGGGTTTACTGAAGAGGCTGGAGGAGTCTTGGACTCGCAAATGAAATGGCTCCTCCTGCTCATCCATTCCAAACCTCCCCACAAAACTCAGACCACACTGCAACATCCCCAAGCTTAAAAGAATCCCCATACCTCATAATATGTGCACCCTCCCCTTCTACTCCTGGCCCTCGCAGATGACACTTCCCCGAAGGCCAGTGGCAGATGGGCAGGTCTGGTTTCCATTTACAGAATGGCCTGTAAGAAGCCAGATGTGAGTCTGGGCCAACTGGACCCACATACCTCTTGTATGTGCCCTTACAAGCAAAGAAAGCACACACTTGACAATGGGGAATCCACTATCCCAACTCTGCTGAAGGTTTTGATGTACCCGGAGCTCCAGAAGGGGAGGGAGAGTATCTATTGATGCAGACCTCCCTTGACCCCAACATCAAATATGTGCCCTGATTTTCAGAGTAACCCTTCCCTGGGGCCAAAATGACCCAGGGAAAAACAGGCCCACTACATTTAGGACTGCTGGCTTAGTGGACAAACTTCCAGAATTACTGCCAGGAACTCTGGTAAAACTAGCTTAGGGGGAAGGGCTTGGTGTAAATATGAAGGGGGTGGAGGGAGATAGGTTGGCAACAATAAACGTAAGTAGAATGAAATTACTGTCTCCAATTATCTTTCCTATGGAGAGAGGATGGGGAGGGGGAGATCAGTCTTCTTCAAAGCTAGGCACAGCAAAATGTCCCCATTGTCCTTTCAGGGCCATCTGTCCCTGCCCAAAAGATGCTTAGTTCCCTTGACCCTGCTGATCTAAAGCTCTAGTTTTATGGCTTAGCTGCTTCTGCCTTTCCTGGTAATCAGCCCCACTCAGAGCTCAGGCTTCTGAGACCACAGCCTTGCTGGGGTCTGAGAGTTGGGAGTAGCTTTTTCTCTCCTCCTAGAACTATTCATTTAACAAGAGCCCAAGATCTCTATCCCAGTGAGAAAGGGCCTGTACTGGGGGCTGTCCAGGGTCCAAGAGGGGGAGATTTGGATTCAGCTATGCCGTTTCTCTGAGGTTACCTCTTCCTGGGCCCCATCCTGTGCCCACTGAAGCGACACCATCTCCTGAGAGGTGGGATGGAGATGAGACCCCTGGTTTCCTTTGTTTCTGCCAGCATTGACTGCATTAAGGAGGGCAAATTGGAATGAGAGCTGCCACCAGAGTAAAGACAAGGTCACTCTGCATCCAGGCTTTGTTCTCAGCTGCATTTGTCCCACTGCCACTAGTGGCTGCTGTTAGGAAACTGTTAGCATTATCCCCATCAAAGAAACAAGGTGGAGCCCAAAGGACCTCAAAGCCCCAATGGTACTGAATAATGGCTGTCCTTTAGTGAGCACGACACGTGTGTCAGGCGCTAAGCACTTTGCGCTTCTTCTCTCATATAATCTTCACCATATCCCCGAGGTAGGTACCATCATCTTCCCAATTTACAGAGGAGAAGCCTAAGGCTCGGGAAAGTGGAAGAAGTTGAGTAGAAAGTCCAACAAGCTTTCAGAGGACCCCCAGCCCTCTGGAGGGCAATCTGCCCCTCTGCATTGTGCCGTTGATACCCTTTGACCCAATTCCCATCCAAGGATTTGATCCACAGAAAGAGCCACACAAGTGCACACAGATATATGGACAAAAAATATTTGCGACAGCTTTGTCTGTCAGACACTGGAAACAACACAAATGGAGAATTAATTAGAGACATTAAGGTCCAGTCACACAATACCATGCAGCCATTAAACATGATATTGTAGAAAAATCCTTAATGACATAGGGAAAAGCTTTATGGTTTTTTATTGTTTACTTCGAAATCTTAAAATTATACAAATAATGTACGAACATTCGTGTTGTAAAAGAAATCTGTGCTATATCATGGGGAAGAAGCGAGTGCTAATACATTATTTATAGGGTGATTCCATTTTTATTTAAGAAAAGGAAAACACACATAAGAGAGATCTGGACCAAATGGTTAGTAGTGGTGATCTTGTGAGGCAAGCGGGGTGGAGTTGGGGGAGTGATGGAGAGAAGGGTTCACTTGCGACAGCTACATTCTTGTTTTATTTCAATTGCAAAAGCATCTATTATTTTAATATCTATTTTAAAAGGGAAAATATTTTATTTTTTTAAAAAAACTAACTAAATCAATAGGTCTAAGACTCTGGTTTCCAGTTTGGGGTAGTAGCAAAGTCGTTATTCTGCTGCCTTTTAGCACAGGCTTCTGGAAAGATGGGGAGTGGGGGATGAAAAATGCCCAAAGTGCTTAAAATCCACATTACACCAAGGGGACCTTATCAGAGGAGACTCCTAAACTTTTTAAAACCCCTGTGTAATGCCTATCTATTAAATCCAATCTGGGGAAAATAAAATATCAGAAAGAGAGAAATCAGACTGAGAAAAGGATGTCTTGAACTCCTCCCCTGTACCAGTGAGGGGATGGGAGGTGTCTCAGAGCTATGGGGCACCAGTTTGATCTCTAGGTTGAACACAGGCTGAAAGCAGACAATTGTGCAATGATCACAGGAGTTTGGCAGGGGCAGGTGAAGAGGGGCAACAAGGAAATGTAAGAGTGCAGGCCAGGGCCTGAGGGGCCAGAAAGGCAAAACCAGGTGGGGCTATAGCCTAGGGCCCAATGCTCCTCCTCCAGGTAGGGCTGCCAGAACGTCCTCCAGCCTCATGGACACCTAGAACATGCCAAGTGGCTCCCTGAGCCCAGCAAACCAAGGTCTGGGGTCCAAGAGACTGAGTCTGCACAGATGGAGGCCTTATACCCCCAGCCCTAGCCAGGGTGTCAGAGGGTCAGGAAGCTGTAGCCTTTAGCTCCCCTTGGAAGGGTGGTGGTGGGCTGGTCCAAGAAGGCAATGGGCTCTTCCTCTGCCTGGAGTCCTCCAGACCCTGGGGACAGAAAGTGGAGCTCCTCTAGGGCAGGTAAGGCCTACCAGTTATGAGTTAGGGCCTACCTGAGTTCAAGTCTTGGCTTTGTCACTCACTTAGCTGGATCATCTTGGAGAAGTCACTTAATCTCCTTGAGCCTCACTTTCTACATCAGCAAAGTTGTGATAACAATACTAGCCACATGGGGTTGTTGCAAAAATTGAATGAACTAGTGTATGCAAAATACCCACAAAATCGATATTCAGTGAATCCCTAAATTTGCACCACCCTGCTACCTGCATTTCACTCTCTTCAAGGTCCATTTCACCTCAGACCCCTAGTTAGTGTAGTGACCAAAAGCAAAGGCTTTGGAGTTCAAGTTTCTTCAAATCCTGGCTCCACCATTTACTAGTTACCTGATTTCAGGTAATAATATACATACACTTTTTTTTCTGTAAAATAAGAATGATCTAAATTGTAAAATAAAAATATATCAAGTCAACACATTGCACACCTTAAACTTATACTATGTGTTATGTTAATTGTATCTGAACTTAAAATAATTTTTTAAATAAAATTTAAGTTAAAAAAGAATAATGATCTAATAACAGCTATCTCTTTGGTTTGTTAGAGAAATCAAAGAGATAATGCTAATAAAGTTCTTGGCACAGAGTGACAATAAAATAGTGGCTTTTGACTTTTTGTAACCTCCAGGGTACTAAGCTCAAGACTGTCGATATGTACTTGTCTGCAGACTAACTGCTATAGTCCAGAGACAAACTGATATCCAAGGTCCTGGGATTCATGATATAGCGTGCCAGCTTTGGTGCCCAGAGAGGCTGATAATAGAGAGAAAGCCCACCTGAGGAGCCTGGACCAGCCTGGTTCTCCCCAGCTCAGAGCACGATGATCAGCCCTGGGCATTAAGACTTGTTTTAGGCCACTCCCTTGGACATCCATGAGCTGCTAGAAGCAAGGGGGATAAAGGCCAGGTTCAAGAAGAAAGAGTTGGAGTCCAGCCAGCTCCTCCCCAATTCAGGGTGAGAGGCGCCTTCTCCCCATTGGGCCATCAGGGAAAGAAGCTGGGGGCATCAGCACATTCTCGCTAAACTATCTCCCATTGCACTTGCTGCCTCTGTGTCTCACGACCTTGCCTTAGGCTTCCCCAGGTAGCTTCTGATCAGCTCCTCTAAAACCCTGCAATGAAGGCTCTCGCCTCCAGAAATTCCCTCTCCTCCCCAAACCCTATAGCAGCGTGCTCTAACGCAGGCCCCGCGGAGGCCGCTGCTTCCTACGCTCCCTCATGGAGACCCCTGCCCAGGTTTTTCACACAAGTGGAGGCCACAGTTGGGGCCATTGGAGATCAAAGGCATTCACACCAAAGCTAAACAAGGTTTCTAAAGGGAAGAAAGGGCATTGATCCCTGTAGTCTCAGTGAGGTCCAACGCATTCCCCTCTGCCAAGTCAGGAAATTAAGGATGAGGTATGACGTTTCCCAGCTGGGCAAAAGACATAGCTCTCCCACCTCCTTCACAATAGAGGTTACCTTAGCTTCTCACACAACGTTGGCCTCATTCTATATTATTCAGCCAACAACACAATCAACAGGGAAGGAACTGCCTCCCCTCTAGACCCAGCCAAGACTCCTCCTCTAGGA